CACCATCGGTGGTGATGCTGATGGGACTAGCGTAGCAATCATCCCCGGGGATGCAGGTCTTGATGGTCTCTGTGGCGTCCCCATCTCCTGGAGAAGAACAACATTTTGAGAGGCTGAGTGAAGAAATGCAGGTGTGAAACAGAACTGTCCAAAGAATAGGAATTAGCACTGGAGAAGAGCCTAATGCTGAGAACAATTGATGACACAAGGAGAAGGGGACGGCAGAGGATGAGGCGGCTGAAGCAGCCGGTGTGAGCTTAGGTGGACTCCGGGGGATGGGAGAGCCTGGAGGAATGTCTATGGGGTCGCAGTGGATCAGACACGACTTTGCGGCTGACAGAACCTTTCCAACATAGCCAGTGCAGGGAGATCACTTTGACTCCGAGATAACATAACCCTTTCCTCATAGTATCCCCAGATGCAAAATACTGAGCTTCCAGTGATTAGAAATCATGATGTGCCCACAAGGGTAGAACCTCGGGAGAAGATGCGTGGAAGGTGCGCCACCAGGGAAGAGCATATGCCTTCCATGCGCAAAAGAGGTCACCGTGCATCAAGTCCTGAAATGCTTTGGCATCGAGTCCCCTTTCCCTCCCTGCTGGTCCAAGACAAGCTCATCCGTGTTCCACTCACCCAAGGAGTTCATTACGACGATAGAAAGGCAGGTGTCTTCGTCTGATCCACAGGGATGAGACAAGCCAGTGCAGCCTTCGCCAGGGCTGATGCAGGTCTCACAAATCAGGCAGGAGACTGGGAAAGGGGCCGAAAGAAGACCGGGGGGGGGGGGCGTGTTACCAGAAGGAGTAGCATGTTTCTACATCGGTACTTGGGTGCTAGGTCTGTTGGTGTCCGTCCATATCATTTGGACAGGGAAGATGACCAGAAGGAAAGGTCCTGGCACTCTCCAGTGTTACAGCTTTCACTGGAGGGAAACGGAACAGGTCTTCGGGTGATCTGAAGGACACCCAAATGGCTTGAAACCCTAATAATGGTTCTTTAAGTTAGGCCTAGAGGCGACTGAAGTGTCTGGCACTGAACAGGTGTGACGTGCAGCGCTAGCTGACTTTCCAGCTGCTGCATCCTCACCAGCTGGAGTCTGAGAAATGTACCATGTAAAGCCCATTACCGAAGAAAAACCAGAGGATGCCTCCATGCAGAAAATATTAGTCTGCAGTGCGGCGGCTGGGTAAGGAGTGTGTGAAAGAGGCTTCGGAGGTTGTTAGGGCCGTGTGAGATGTAGCGGCCTCATCGCTTGACCAGAGGCTAGCGGGATGAAGCTGACGCCACTGCAGGTCTCTCATCGCATCCCCATCACTTCAGCGCAATCCTATAACTGTCTTTCTAGATCTCATTCAATATACACTCGAACTGGCCTTTACTTAGGTGCAATGGAGACATACGATCGCTCATGCAACACGACCCTAGAATTATAGCAACACATTCTGCTAGAATTAGACTTAATCCTAGAATCATGAACGGGTGGGAAAAATGTTTTCCTACCCAGTTTCTAGAGGAAAAGTTACAGCATCTGAACTTACATAGAAAAAGGGCAAGTAAGCAGAGGCATGACCGAGGCGTACAAAGAAAGTGGGAAGGGTTTCTCTTTTCCTCTTCCTTTTTTATAATCTTCCCGTGATCCTGAATGTTTGGAGATTCTGGGCAGATAATTAAACACTGGAATTCACCAGCACAAGAAGTTGTGTCAGCCACCCCTTTGGAGAGCCTTAAGGTGGGGCTAGTTAAATTCCAGGAGGAGGACGGCCACCCACACGAAGCACCCGAGGGCTGCATGCAGCCACCGACATCAGAGGCCGGCCGCCTGCCTGCCACCCGCAGTCGGGGGGCGTGGTTGCTCTCCTGTCCAGCCGCTTATGGGTTCCACCCAGGCAGCTTTTCGGCCTCTGTGTCCACAGAGCATTGCGTGAGATTGACCCTTAGTCCGACTGAGCAGGGCGGTCCCACTGGGGAGGCTGCACTGTGCCCACTGTACAAACAAGCAGCTCGGACTGAGACTTGGACCTTAACTAGAACACCTCCCCATATCTTGATCCTAGTTGCAGGCCATGGGCTCCCTCCTTCACCAGAGGTGGTGCGCCCGCATGGAGCAGTTGCTGAGGAGCCTGGGCAGAGGGGGTCTTATGGCTTTTCTCCTGTTCTTAGTCTCTTCCTCAGGCAGGAGAAAGCGGAGTTGCCCACGGACGTTTGATATGGACTCACCTCCAGCTGGAAGAGCGGCCAGGAGGAGGCAGAGGTTGAGCAGAGCCATCGTGATGGTGGAGACAGGGTCTCCTCGGAGCCGAAGCTTCTGGGGCAGCAGGAGGGCTGGGTGTGAGTTATAAGCTGGGCCAGTTACGTAAGGAAGAGCGGGTGAATGCAAGCTTGGCACTGGGCGTGTGGCTTTTCGGGAGGCACCTCGGCTCCTGGGCAAGCCACCCGCAGCCCTGACAGCTGATGCCCTTTGTCCATTGATCCCCCTCAAGGAGACCCTTTGTGCAGCAGCCACTTCTCTCCCACCGCCAAGGGAGCAAAACCACTTTTTGTTCTCTGAAACCTCTCTTGTTCTTGGCATGGAAGTGGAAAGCTTTGGGTATCAAGTCATGGAATACAAAGAGACCAAGGGAGAGAAAGGAATGCTTCCCCATCTAATAGCCAGCTTGCTTGCTTTCTTGTCTACAGCAAGGGGCCTTCTGGCCCATTTTTGGCAGGGTCCTGTCCCAGTGTGAGTTGAGTTTTCATTACAATTTTGGCACAGCAGAGCAGCCTGTTCAAGGCCCCATGGGCTGAGATGGCATCAGCAAAAATGGCTGCCCAAAATTCCCCACCAGTTCCAGGAAAGTGAAATGGAGACATTCTTTTCACCAAATTTTATTTAGAGGCTTCACAAAGAGTTGCCAGGGGAGGGTCACCTCCCTGCAGGGCACATGCTTACCTGCCACCGTAAGCAAACTATGCTAGCCAGGTGACCAGCATATTTTAAGCCACACAGTGCATTGCTTGCAGGACAAGGGAAATGGTCGTCACCACGAACAAGATGGAGAAAACTGGACTACAATATTCCAAGGGTTCTTTCCAACAATACTCCAATTTCATTCTTTCCCTGCTAACTTTTTGGTGAGGAAAGTGCTCTGAATACTGTTCCCAAGTCCCAAGGCTGAAGGTGGTTTCTAACCTTAGATCTGGGATTTTGGGAAACCTAGTGGCCCCTTGATGCCATCAGCTTACTCTGCCCATAGTGTATCTTTAAAAAAATAATTAGCATGATTTATAAGGACAAATAAACACATTGAATTTAAATCTCGTTATTGGTAGAGGGTAGTATATTTAACAATCCTTACTTTACAGGCAAAAGTATAGGTGGAATTGCTTGGAGGGGGGTTGGAGGTTTCCTTTGGCTTCTCACTGTAACAAATTATATTCAGCCCACAGTCGCAGGCAGGCTTAGCAACATGGCTGGCTGGGCAGGACTGGGAGCTGTCAGACTTTTTTCGGTTTCAACACACACAGGATTGTGCCACTGTCTCTCTACTGCAATCTGAGGTTTGACACATATTGGTGCATACGTCCCTGATTTCTATATGCAATGAAATTTTCCCATATGTCATTAAAAATATCAGGTACTTCACTTTTAGCTGCTTCCCGTTGACAAGTCCATGTTCGCTACAGTTATTTTCCATTGGCAGTGCGCCATTTTTGTTTGATGAAAACTATGATATCCAGCCTTTTCAGCTCTTAAAAGAAAGAGTGTGATTTTATGCCATTTTCAATTCATTTGTAATTCTTCTAACTGCTTTCTCGATTGCATTTTAATGGTTTTTATAGTTTGTTGTAAACTGCCCAGAAAGCTTGCCTACGGGCAGTACAGACATGAAACGGATAAGAAGAAAAGAAGACGTGGAGGGGGCCGGAGGGAGAGCCACTAATGCGTGTCACTGATGCGTGGCTGATGCGTGTCACTGATGCGTGTCACTGATGCGTGGCATCCTGCATCTCCCTACCGGAGAGTCGGGAGCGAGTCATGGGCTTGGCAGGAGGCCGAGAGCTCCGAGAACCAGCTCAGCTTCCATTCTGGGCGCAAGGGCACCATCTAGTGGCGGCTCTGAATCTGCAGAAGAGGCTGTGTAGAAAAGCGAATTGCTGCCGTGTGCTCAGGAACTAACACAGCCATGCTCCCCGTCTCTCTTTCTTGGCATAGGCCATCCCCCAGAGAAAGTTAAATCTGTTATTGTTCCCCAGAGCAGGTCCGGATCCTGGAGCCGTACAAACAGGAAACGGCTAGACTACCAGGTTTGAGAAGGCTCCCTTGCTCGGGAAATTTGCTGGAAAATAGAAATCAACCATGCAGCCCTATGCATGGGAAGGCCCCACAAATTCCAATGTGCACCAGCCACAGGGAGTTGTAGGGCTTTTTTCCTGTACGAAAGTGCATAAGGATTGTGTCCTAAATTAGGCACAGAGCTAAGGGCTCGTGGCAATAGTTGCTTCCAATTTCTGATCTTAAAGGAAGCTTTGGCAGGTAACTGCCTACGAATTAAACACTGGGGTCTTTTCTTGGGGCGGACTCAGAGAGGGGTTCGCACAGGGGCTGTGCTGCTCCCAAAGAAGCTGAACTACGCGGATACCTTAATTACACAATAAACACATTAAGTTAATAATTACTTATGCCCGCTTTATTAATCATTTTCGAGGAGCTACATTTTGCAGTGCTTATTTTTTATACATTAGCAGCAATGCCCTGGCACAGTGTAACGTGACCTTCACAAACGTAATCTAACCTTGCCTTATCTCTCTAGCTGTTGCCTAGAGCGAGCCAGTGCGCAGGCGCCGAATCAAAGCCGCGGGAGGGGCAAGACCCGCTTCGCTCAAGGCTACAGAAAAGCAGCGGGCGGGAGCGCCAACCCGATCGGGCTCCGCGCCTGCGCAGTAGCGTCCAGTGAACGTGGAGCCGGAGAGCCATAGACGTGAGGTAGTTGTGAGGACAGAGCGCCCGCAGAAGCCCGTGTTTCCGGGTGGGCGGAGGAGTTTTGCTGCCGGGTTACGGCGGTGACAGAAAGTGGCGGGGAGATGCCGGAGATCGCGATCCGACATGTGGTGTCTGCGAGCAACTCCGACACGGTGCGGGCGGGCGAGCAGATGAGCAGCTGCCGCGCGGCGCCGGGTGGGGGAGGGGAGGCACCCCGCGGGCTCGGAGGCGGCCGTTCGGGGCGTGGGTGCGGGGAGCGGATGTCCGCTCGGCGGAGCCCGGGGAGCCCGCGCCGTGGGTGCTGCCTGGGGACCCTGGTCGCGGGGGGGCGTTGGGGGGCGTGGCGCGGAGGCGGCTTCGTCCAGGGAGACCGTTTGTGCAGTGGAGGGTTGCGGCGAGACCGCGGCGGGAAGGGAGGGAGGGGGCCATGGGGGGAAGAGGTGCGGGGCGCGGGCCATAGTGGGGGAGAGATTTGAGGGGGACGGGCGTGAAGTGGGGGGAAATGGTGGGAAGGGGAACGGACTGCGTTGAGGAAGTAATGGGGAGAAGAGACTCCCTCATATCTTGCAATCTGTCGGTATCAGAGATAAATAAGTGGTGTGGAGTGAGACAGGCATGCAGGGGAGCAAGGGATCGAGATTTTATTTCTGGTTTTTGCTGCAGCTTAGCTCTCTCTTTTTATCCTCCTTGCCTTTTTCAACCCCTAGACTCACTGTGCCGAGAACCTGCTCAAGGCTGACACCTATCGCAAGTGGAAGGCTGCCCAGCCTGGGGAAAAGCAAGTCTCTGTCATATTACAGGTGAGTATCAGTCTTCTGTGTGGCCCTGTTTGAAACAGGACCTCAGTCCCATGCAAGATTTTCATGGGGGGGTAGATGAGCCAGGAAGTACTTCCTATTTTCCTGTGCAAGGCTGGATTGTGCCATTTTTCATACGTTTGGATAGCTGTGGTTCTCTCTTGGCCACCCAAGTACTTCCCACAAAAGGATGATCATGTGAGAGAAGCTGTAGATGATAATCAGAGCTGTCATGCTTTTACGAATGGTGGCAGCTACAAAGAATGCTGATGCCATGGCGGAAGTTGCTGCTGACTGTGTCCAGTACACTCTAGTTCATGCTGTTGTTTCCCACATAATTGCAGACACGTTCAGGGTTATAGAGACAGAATGTACTGTGTTAACTATTCTGTAGTTCTGACAAATGACAGAGCCATGCTGGGTGGGGAGTGCTTGGAGTTGTAGGACTCGTCTGCCTGAACGTGAATGGGATTGGGCCTTAAAAGGATCTTGTGTACCAGGACTTGGTTAAAAGATGCTGGCCAAAACCTTGGAAAGCTGCTGCCAGTCAGATTTGAAAGTACTGGCTAGATGGACCAGTAGTTTGACTTGTATGAAATAGCGATGTGTGTTGATATGTTATGAAGTTATACGTGCTGGTGTCTGGGGTATTCACCATGCTCATCCATACTGGCCCAGGCTTCAGGATAGCCTCTCTGTGCTTTCCTGAATCCATGGCTAAGATTGCCTTGCTTCCCCACAGTTTGAGAAAGAGGAGCAGATCTACAGCATCGACATTGGCAATGAAGGCTCCGCCTTTGTGGAAGTGCTGGCCGGCAGCTCCGCCTCCTCCAGTGAACAGAGCTATGAGGTGAGGGGGGATGTGAGCTGGACAACCTCCGTGGCATCGTGTGCTATCCCCATTTGGGAGTCAGCACTCATGTAGCTGGGGTCTTTAGCAATGCAGGATCCATAGCTGTTGCGGTTTTTCAGTCTCTGCGTTGAAATAGCCCGTCAGGGAGGCTGTTTCACAAAGGCAGGAAAAGCCAGTCTGAAGGGGCAGCTAAACCCAGTCGAAGGAAACTGAACCCTTGGAGTGTGTGGGGAGGTGAGTGAGATTCCAGGCAGCTCGCTGGATGCAGCTACATTTGAACAGCCAATGCTAGGCAGGTGTGCAAGGGCACCCTGGGGATGCAAGGAGGGCTGGACACGTGGAATTCTGCTGTGTCGAGAATCGTGCTTCTTCCCTGCCTTTGGCAGTTGCTACTAGGAGCCAGGAATGCAACTCCCTTTAGATGCCCCCCCCCCCCAGTTCTGTCTTGTAATCCACCCCTCAACTCATGGAGGTGAAGTCTTTTGGATCAGCACAGAGACTTAGTAACAGCAGCACACATAATTTTTTAAAGTCTGCACCATGATCTCTGCCAAAGTCCTTTCTCTTCCAACTTAGGTGCTCTTGGTCACCTCCTCCTTCATGTCTCCCTCGGAGAGCAAAGGCGGCACCAACCTCAACAGGGTCCGTATGTTTGGGCCAGATAAGCTGGTGAAGGCTACGGCAGAGAGGAAGTGGGACCGGGTAAAAATCGTTTGTACCCAGCCCTATACTAAGGTTTGTATTTGTGTCTCTATCCTAAGGAGAGCAAAAGGGGATGCAATATAATAGTCGCCCAGCAGTGCCAGACCTGATCTCTTGCATTCAAGTCTCTGTGCAGAGATTTGCTACGGAGCTGTGGATGCTCCTTTGTCCAATTGGTTTCATACAGGCTTGTAGTGCTGGTGCTTTTTTGAGGGTGAAAGAGGTTGAAAACGACGCTGTGCTTTGTAACAGAAATGTCAGTGAAGGCGATGAGAGAAGGTGGAGGTTAGCACATTAATGGTGGGATTGTTCCGAGAGACTTCTGGTTGCTCCCCACATCTGTGAGGATTCCGTTGCTGGGGGTGGTGGTGGGGAGGTAAAGAGCCAGGGGTTCAGATCTGTCCCTTCACCTCACCTTGAGGTGGGAATCCTCATCAATGCAGGCCACTCCCTGAAGCAGCTGAAATCTGGTAAGGTGATGCTGCTTTGATCATGGGCCTGTGCATGTTTTCCCTGAGTGCAGTGGGACTTATCGTCAAGTGAATTTGCTTGGTGTTGCAGTTTTAACGGGACTAACCTTCAGCAAAATAACACACAGTTCTGGAATTGTGTGTCTACTCAGTATGAAAAGACAACTAATTAGCAATTATATTTTTGCCATCATGATTGTTCCTAAGGGAGATGCTTCTTGTCTGTGTTACCTCCTCTTAACATACCTTTATCTGTTTTGGATCTATGAGCTGAGCTGGCTCTGGAAGGCATGTAGGACAATGAACAGGGTTGCCGCCGGTAGTAAAAAGAACTGCCTGATTAATAGACTTGGATTTTCTGTTGCATGAGTTCGGAACCTACTTCAGCCCAAGGGTGGAATTTAGTTTTGGAGGGGCCTGGGACAGGGTCACATTCCGAGGGTGGGGGTGAACAAAAAGGGGGTGGGGCCAAAGACCAAAGAGGTGGGGCCAAATATACCACTCCACTCCATAATTTAGCTTTATAGTTCTTATCTTCAGGGACTTGTCCTTAGGAGACGGTTGGGGTTGCACAAAAGCTGGGCAACTGCCAAATGATCTGTAGTTAAGGGAAGGGAGACCGCGGGTCTGGGCCCGCTCCTGCTCTGCTGACGGTACGCTTTTCTCCTCAGTCCCTGGCTTACGGCCTTTCTTTCGTGAGATTCCACTCCCCTCCAGAAAACAATGAAGTTCATTCCAAAACAGCTTCGCCGGTAAGTATTCCACGGACCTGACTTTTGTCCTCCCTTTGCTCTTTCTGGTTATTCCTTGACCCATGTGGCTCCCTTGCTCTCTTTTCTTCCTGCTCCGTGCCCTGCAGAAGGTCACCAAACTGGGCCTGTTCAAGGTGAAGGAGGAAGACAGCAACTCCAGCTCTTTGAAACCCGGAGCCCTGTTCTTCAGCCGTGTCCACAAACCGCTAGTCTCTCCCTCTAAAGGTAGCTGCCATGGACCAGTCAGCATCTTGCCTCGAGTTGGCTGGTAACTTGGAAGAGCCTTGCTGAGTCGGACCAAGCTCTATCAGGTCCAGCATCCCCGTTCCCTGCGTGGCCTGCCAGTTGCCCCTGGGATACGTGGGCACGGGGAAGGCAGTGGGAAGGCGCTGTGCCTCTCCAGCCACAGAGCAAGTTGTGTTCTGCTGCTGACCGTGGGCATCCCGTCCCATCGTGACGAAAGGCCATCGCCAAGTAGAGCGCCTCTGTATTTATTTCAGTTGTTTTCTTCTTGCTCTGGAACCAGAAAAGGGAAAAGACTCCTAGAGTAGCTTATGGTCAGCCAGCAAAACGAGGCAGCCCCTCTGTGTACAAGTTTGCATTCTAAAAAGGCCATAGCACACAAGGAAAATAGGGTAGGGAAGGAGGAGGAAAACTTTAGATAAGGGAGGGTTGGTGGAATGGGGTTAGATGGCTAGAGTGGTGGGATTTATTGGCTTCTGGACGCTCTGAGTCCTTTCAATGCTGAGTATGAACTCTACCATTCACTCCTGAGAATGATCATTGATGTTGCTTGTTTAAAGTTTTTATATACTGTCAACTCATTACAAAATCTCAAGACGGCTCCTGCCATCATTATCAGGACTGCAAGTTACTTGTCTCCACAGCCTCTCAGAATGACCAGCCTTCACCCAGTTATGCTGCTGCTTCGTTGCAGACCAGCATGTCTGGTTCCCCTGACCCATCTCCATCTTCAGTGGAAAAGCCCACCAGCAAAGGTGCTCCCAAGGTAAAATGGGCTGGATGGGAAGCTGTATGTGTGCACGAGAGCCCTGTTTGTTTGTTTTTTATGTTACCGGCTCGGCTCCACGCTGCTGAACAAGCATCCGGGCGTTCTTGTACGTTATTTTAAATTTTATGTCGAGGTGATGAGCCTCTTTCGGCCCAAGGCCTGAAACCCACTTTGGAAAAGCACCTCTGGGGGCAGGAGCGTGCCCTAGGGGCGAGTGGGCCTCGAGGCAAAAGGGACAGTAAAATTCTGCACGCTACCAGCATATTTTCACTTGCAGCTGTTACTGCAAGTAAAGGAGCCACAGGAGAAGCGTTTCATCTTTTTCGAAGGGAGAAAAGCCTCCACAATAGCCAAGGAGCCCCGGTGGGCAGGGAACGGTGGTGTGGCCATTTGGGAAACCCCGGAGGGCAGGATCTGGCCTCTGGGCCTGGGGTTCTGCAGCCTTACTTTATCAAGTTGCAATTTTCCCATCACATTTGTCAAAAGTCAGTATTATCGTCATCCACGCAGCAGATTGAGTCTGGGAGGAATGGGCTTGTGGGAGCGAGGGAGCTGTCTGCCCAAGACCACCTGTGATGGAATCCCAAGTGTGTTCAGAAAGAAATCAGTCTTACACCTTCCAGCATTCCCCAGCCAGCTTGGCAGGTTGCAGAAAGCTGGGAGTCAAAGGAACGATCTGTCTGGGCATGAATAGGATTGTGTTGTTGCTGAGCTCACGGCAGAGGTGAGATTTGAACAAGGCATCTGCTCACTTGCAATGCAGTTTCTTCACCACAACACCACACCTGTCGTCCTTCTTGTGCTTCCAGTGGGCAGCGGGGAAAAGCTTCTACTTGCTGCATGTCTGTATGTCAGGCTGCTATTAAAAGACAGGGTGCATTTGACGGCTGGGGTATGTGGTGTCTTGACTGAGGTAGGGGCAGCCATCCTAGCATCCACCGCATCTCTCCTTTCTGCACGGGGAGGACTCCAGGTACCAAAGCAGCGGCACTGATGCTAGAAGCATCTCCTGCCGAGTGGGACATTTACCCACAATCCTTCGCCTGTCTTCTCAGAAATAAATTCAATTGCGTTCAGTGGGGCTTCCTCCCAGGAAAATGGGTATGGGACTCCTGCTTTCATTTCATCTGTTTGCAGGAGCCTGCGCCAGTCAAGAGGAAGTTCGAGTTCAGCAAGGAAAATACAAACATCTCAACTACGGCTAAGAAATCTCACCCCGATACTCCTCGCCCGATGCAGCCCCCCTCCAAGAAGCACAAAGGTGTGTGTTGAGGGGGGGGAATCGGGGGCCGTGCGCATTCTCCCTTATCCTGGTTGGGACCTGCTGGGCGGTGAATAACACAAGTGATGAAAAAGAATATCCACGATTGCATCTAACTATTTTATGTCTTATTTTTAAAAAACTTCTTACATTTTAATTAAGTTTGTTTTAACCTTTCATTGTTAGCTGCCCAAAAGGTGAGATACAAATAAAATAAAAATGAACAAATATTTTGTTGGGTAACCTGGGAGTGTAGCTCTAAATACGCTTGCTTAGAAGCAAGTTGCTTCATGTTCCGTATTGCTTCTTGGCAAGTCTGCGTACGGCTGCCGCATCCCCCTTCCAGGTAGAGGAGGAGGAGATCTGGCTGTGCATTGCTTCTCTCTTGCTCTGACAGGCCCCACTATGCAAAACCTTGACTGCTCCATTGTTCTTGAGAACCCCTAGTTCTTTTTTTTAATAAAGATTTTTATTAAAAAAAATTAAACTAAAAAATTAAAAACATCAATCATCAGATGCATCGGACATACTGGGTCAGCCCCCTACAACGCATCTTTTTAACATTCTATAATCAAGTTCAGATCAATCTATAAAAGTTTAAGAACATCTTTAAATCTGAGCCAAGTCCTGTTTCTCCAGCCAATCATAAAAAAGGTCCCAAGTTTGATAAAAGTCAGTATCTTCTTTCTCCTTCAGTAATAGAGTCAGTCTGTCCATTTCTGCACAGTCCAGAATCTTTTTTAAAATCAGTTCCTCAGTGGGTAATTCCTCACTCTCCCAGTATTGAGCAAGCACAATCCTCGCCACTGTGATTAAATGTTGCATCAAGAGAACCCCTACTTAACCCCCCTACTATGGCAGTGGTTATTTGATTTAAGTCTAAAGTTGCCTTGCTTAAAGGGCCACTCATTCAAATACTACCCATAAATGAATGTAAAAGCATATATAAGTTCCAGATGGCAAATACCATGATTAGTATTATTCATTCTCATGTAACTAAGTAACTACTTCCTCTTTGGATCTCTACAAGTCCTTGTTAGTCTTTTTTCTTCCCTACTCCACACCCCATATGTTCTGATGGCTGGTAACTTACCAGGTATTTTCCAGAGGCTTTCAAGGTTTTGCATCCATAAGGACTAGGAGCTTGATTCTTCCAAAAACAAACATCAGATTTTTTTGGATGTCATCTGCTTAACCTCATTTCCAGTTTTATATGATATGATGGCAGAATTATAGACTGTGACACGCTGGATTTGACTGATTCCTGGCTTCCTTGTCTCTTAGCTCGTTCCAGCAGGTTGCAGATGGAACCCACTGTATGTTCCTTATTAAATGTTGATAGGCTTGTGTGGAAGAGTAAGGAATGACGTGTTTTCCCCTTTCTAGCCTGAAAGAACTCTTACTTTATTTTCCACCTCTGTTCATAGTTTCACTTTCAGCGTCACCTCCCCAGAAAATGACGGTGCCCAAAACATCATCTTCGGAGGTGGCAGCAAATGGATCTTTCCAGCACCTCCTAGACGGGACCGTGTTCGTGTTGAGCGGGTTCCAGAACCCCTTCCGTTCAGAGCTCCGGCACAAGGCCCTAGAGATGGGGGGCAAATACCGACCAGATTGGACCCCAGACAGCACTCACCTCATGTAGGTATCTTGCAGACCACTGGGCCTTACTGCCCTTTCTAAAGCTCTGTGCTCTTTTCTCAGCTGTAAATTTAAGCCTGTATAATCCCAAAAGCTGCAACCATACAGGACAAGATAGCAATTGGTATATTGTTAACCTTTTTTTCTCTTCAAATATCTTAAGTCCTGAAACTTTGATACCGAAAGAAAATACTTCAAAATTCAGCACTTTCCCACACGCTTCCCCCAAATGTTCCATTTCTGGCACAGATCTGGGAAGACGGAGGAGAAGGAGCTGGATAACCAGAGGAAACCAGCCTTGCAGGCTGACTGGAGATGTCTGCTGATGTGCCTGATTCTGCACGTGCCTGTTCTAAAATCAGTTCCACTGAGCTCAGTGGGGCTTATTCTTAAGCCTGCCCAGCATTGCTGTCTTAATTGTGTGCCTCTCAAACAGGTCTGGGCACCACATGGCTGCCGCTCCTCCCTGTTACACCCTCAGAATGCTGGAGTTTAACATTGATAGGTGAAATAGCACTTCAAAGCAGCTATGCACTGCAAAGCAGGTCAAATTTCGCTTGGTCGCAAGCAAAGGTGGTCCATTCTAGCGATCCTGCCATTTATTTTTAGTGCCATGCCTTAAAAACAAAAAATCTGGGTGGTGGGTGATGTCTGTGGCCCCTGGACCTCCTGCAGCGGCCCACCGTTGCTCTCAAATGATGAGTTGCATAGTTCGGCTTGTGCCAGCTCTTCCGCTTCTCCCGCTGGCACAGAGGTGGAGGTGGGACGCCGTGCACTGAGCATCCCCTCGGCCCTCTCTTCCCAGCTGTGCCTTCGCCAACACGCCCAAGTACAGCCAGGTGAAAGGGCTCGGGGGCATCATCGTTCGCAAGGAGTGGATCCTGGACTGCTACCGCACGCGACGGCACCTGCCCTGCAAGCGGTGAGTGGCGGGGAGCAAGCAGACCCCAAAAGCTCCTCCGCCTAGCACGGCTCTGCTCGTTGCTCTATTTATTTCATTTACATATATTTATAGCCCTCCTGTAATCGACGAGGCCTTCCCAGGCGGCTTACAATGCATGAAACATACTCACAGATTAAAAACATATTAAAAGCCACTTAAAACATAATGAATTGAACATCTATAAAAACAATTACTATGGCCACAGCATACAGGCTAAATGTTTAAAAATTTCTGACAGGAAAATAGAGATGGCGCCAGGCAAATTTCCCTGGCGAGGGAGTTCCAAAGATGGGGAGCATCAGCGGAAAAGGCCCTTCGCCTGGTTGCCTCCCCTCTCTTCTTCCTGAGGGAGGGTTCTTGTAGAAGGGCCTCCTGAGCTGATCTGAGGGGGCGGGTAGGTATATATGGGTGCAGCCAGACCTTTAGATAGTCTGGCCCCAAGCCGTTCAGGGCTTTATATGTCGATACAAGTTCTGGGGTGGCAGGTCTGGTTCCTGCTGCCGCTGCAGCGACAGTTGGCTGGATTTTCTTTCCCAGGTACCTGCTGGCCAGGCCGGAGTCCTCCAGCAGTGAACAGGAGGGGGAGAGCGACGAAGAGGCCTCTGCGCAGCGCCACAAGCCGCCTGCTCATCCACAGGTAGGAGAATCCCTTGGACCTCTGGCTGCCTCGCTTTGCTTGGCAGGGAATTGCCGTTGTCCTGTTGGCACTGCTGGATCAAGCTGCCTGCACATTCCCTGCCCTTGAAAATGAGATCTGCAAGCTTTGGTACTTCCTTACAGGCTCGTTTTTAAATGGCTGAAAAAGTGGCCACAACGGATGGGGAAGCGCTTTTTGTGGTATAGTGTGATGTTGGGGTTGTTGCATTCTCAGTATTCAGAGTGTCTGCTCTGTTTGGAAACGGGATAGGGTACACAATTTGGAATAAGTGCAGGTATTTAGACTGCAGCTGTGCCCAGATGAGCTCACAGCCACCCGCTACAGACTGGGAGGAAGGGGACAGGCGATCGTTCCCTCTCCCCTCTTTCTGCTTTGCTGCCCCAGCTTCTCCCAAGAGGGGTTATTTTGAGTGTGCCTTATAAATGGGTGGCAAAAGAGGCTGGCACAACAAGCAAGCCGGTCCTGCTTTCCCCTCCCCACAGTCCAAGCACTGTTTTTGTCCTTTTTCTAACTTCACAGAGAGGCAACCCGCCCAGCTCCAATCACAAGCCCAAGACTCCGGCCAGCCCCAAAATAGCACGGATGCCGCCACGGAAGGCATCCTCGGAAGAGGAGCCCAGCACCTCTCGCAACAGCGGCACCCAGAACAACTCGCAGGGCCTAGAGGCTGACTCCGCGGGGTCTTCCAGCACGGACGAGCGTGCCGCAGGTAGGCTGAGAGGTTCTGCCCTTGCGTGAGAGCGGCCTCTGTGGGGCAGACGTAAAGGCCAAGCTCGTGGGACGTCCCGTTTCCAGCAGTTTCTGGAAACTGGAAAATGGGGCACGGAGCAGATGTCTGTCCTTTGTTGGTTCCCACCATCCGATCTTTGAGGAAACTCATTGCCTCTGCATGGGGACATCATGTTTAACTTCCAGAGCCCATCAGCTGCTCTCCCTGGATTTATTGCTCGTTTTTCCTTCAATTTAAGTGATTTTAGCAAGTGGTCCTCATAAGTTAAGTTGGAGTCTCAGTCCTGCTGCGGATCCTTTCTGATACACAACTCTGAGTTCTAGTATTCCTGGAAAAGGAGGGAAAGTACGTCTCTTCTATGCCACTTAGCATGTCATAAAATTAGCTAGATGTTTAGCAACGCTGCATTCTTTGTGCACAGTACTTGTATCTTCTTCATCCCCCAGTGAGCAAGACGTGCCACCCCAGTTCCTCACGCTTTGGCCTGTGGACTCCCCCAGGCCTTCCGAGACTCACCTGATGAGCCATTGAGCCTTGGCTTCCTTCCTCCTAGTGTCGTTCTCATTACCTCCCGAAAACCTGGCAGCTGCGCCGATCCTCTGGCAATCTCCTTTCTCAAACGGGGAAGGAGCGAGTGATAGATGCTGGGTTGAGGCCAGGACCCAGACTAGCCCTGCATGCCCAGTCAGAGGTTGCCCGTGGCCCAGCGTGACCTTTCCTTTTTCTCCTGCCATCTCTCAGGCGTCCGAGACGAGGAGGAGGAGGGCTCTGGCGACACCGATGATGAGCTGAGGAGGTTGGTCAAGCGAAGACGATCTCGCTGGTCTTGCCATGATTCTTGGCCCAGGGCGGGTGGGAAAAGACCTCTTTATTTTCCCGGCTTTTAACAATTGATTGGTTTTATCCTTGTTTTTATTAGTATTTATTGGATGCAGTGTGTTGTGTTGTGTTGTGCATTATGGTTCTTTGTTCTTTGGTTTTTTGTTTGTAAGCTGTCCAGGGACTTTTAGTAGTGGGATTGCACAGAAACACTTTAAAAGCAAAGCAAAAGGTGTGGGGTTGTGATCGTAAGAGCAAGGGAGCAAGTACAGGGCAAGGGCCAGGAAGTGGCTGTGTAAGGGAAGATGCTTCATTCCTCAGATCAGAGGAACCATATTTATATACATATGTTAAACAAAAATAAAATTTGTAATTTTTCACCCCGCCTTTGCATGCTTCCCAACACGCGCACTGATTTTGAGGACCAGGCGCTTTTTGCCAGTTGCGGCGAGGGGAGGCCGTAGCGAGCCCGTTGCCCCAGGTGACCGAGTCATTTCCCCTGGCTTTAGAGTCGAAGAAGAGCACCGCAAAAAAAAGCAAGGAGGGCAAGCGACCGTCCCGCCACCGGAGGACGATCCCTACGGTGGCTCCACAGACGAGAACACCGATGTCGAGGAAAAGGAGGAAGCGGATCAGCCCATCCCAGAGCTGCCAGGTGTGTCCGAAGGAATGGGCGGGAGGAAGCGGGCTGCGGCCAGCGCTGCCACGTCTAGGTTGGGGGATGTGCCGCACTTGCACAGCCCCTCTCCTTGTGAGTAAAAGCGAGGGCCGTTTATGCTGGGCCTCTTCCACTACCTGCTGTATGAATGAATGAGTGGCGATCCCAGGCTAAATTTCTGGGGCCCGGTCGGGCAACTGAATCTCCCTTCTGCCTCTCTGCTAACACAGCCGTCTCTTTGCCAGATTTATTTGGCGGCAAACACTTCTTCCTTTACGGGGAATTCCCTTCTCAGGAGCGACGCCTCTTGAACCGCTACATCACCGCTTTCAGTGGGTGAGTGTTGTTAGCAAATTGTGGTCTGCCGCAGCTCCAAGTGGAATACTGAGCACTGATGTGTTGTATTCTAGTTGAGAACCGTAAAAAAGCCAAAGCCAAGCACTGTAAACAAGCAAAAAGGGAAGCCAGATCCTACGCCTTAATCTAGCACTATAAGCAATTATTTTCCTATCCTTGCGTGGCTTTCGATATAGGATGGTCCAGATGGTTTCTGATCCCTGGCAACCCACCCCCTTTGAGTATGTTGCACCCTCTTTGGCAGGAGAAGCTTGAAAAAATTTGTAAATAATATCGCATACTAAGATACCAAATATGGGACATGGCGTAATTTCATACAAGCAGAACGAGCTTTTGGAAACCTTCCTTCCTCGACAGCAGCATGTCCACGGGACCCTTGACTGCGTGTGTCCTGAGCGCAGTACCCAGAAAGACCTCTTAGCTTCACGAATGTTGCTGTAAGAGTTCTAATAAAAACCAAGGAGCGTGTGTATTCCACCTCTGCTGTTTTGTGACGCTGTATCGATTCTGTCCAATGTATGTTACGAGGAAGATCACTTCTGCTTTTCCTCAGGAAGAGGCGAGGGGGGAAAGCCATCTGAAAGGTGATTAAAGATGATTATTAAGGGAATACTTCCCTTCTATTTACAGAGAGGTGGAAGCCTATATGAACGAGCGAGTGAATTTTGTGGTCACGGCTCAGCAGTGGGATGACACTTTTGAGGAGGTGAGCTTGCCCCGCCAGCTTGCTGGGAGACCGTATTGCTCTAGCCCAGGCATTCTTCAGATGTGTTCTGTAGCATCCTCTCAGGTGGGCTCCCAGGACCCTAAAAAAACCCTACAACTGCCGGCATGGCTGTCTGGAGCATGCTGGTTGCTGCAGGACCCTTCTCCTGCCCAGTCATGCACAGAATTGCCCCCTAACAAAATGAGTGGAAGGGTAACCACCCTTGACCAGAGGCCAATGGCAGCAGGTGCAGGTTTGCACTGAGCAGAATCCTGAGCATTCAGCGTGCTTTCAGGCACCCTGTTGTCATCCTTACAACAGTCCGCCCAGGTAGCCACGTGTTGCTGTTGGAGAGAGAGAGCGGAGGACGAGAGGAACGGGGGAAACAAGGTGGGCGAGCGATTTATGTCGCGCTCGCGACTCTGACATCCCACTTTCCTCCTCCCAGATGTGCGCCATTTGCCTTCCAGCCTTCTGTTTTCTCAGTGGTCCTGCAAGTTAGGCTATGCTCAAGGCGAGCCATGAGCCCTAACTCTCCTAGCGGATTCCTTGACTGAATGGAAGGCCCAAGCTTCGCTCTCCCGCTTCTTAATGCTTTCGTGTGCTCCAGCATCCTGGCTGCAACGAAATTGGTAGGGAGGGCTTCCCCTGGGGACTAGTATCCCATCACTTTATTCTTTTGGGCGCCAGGCCTAAACCTTTTTATTTTCCCAATGTCTTAAGACTTGACTGTTTCAATTGGGAGTTTTTTATTAGTTACATTTTAGGATGCTGTTTTTGTTTTTTTTTTTTAATGCGTTTTGTATTGTCAAACCATTCCAAGACATTGGTAATAGGACAGTCTAGAAAAGTTTTAAATAAATACTGATCATAGAATACCATGTTTTCCGGAAAATAAGACCAGGTGTTATATTAATTTTTGCTCCAAAAGATGCATTAGGGCTTATTTTCAGATGATGTCTTATTTTTTCATGTACAACCATCTACATTTATTCATGTACAAAAACCTACATTTATTCCGATAGAGTCATGCCGTCATCTTCTGGAACATCGTCATAATGCTCCAAACCCCGAATTGTGTTGCAACGGATGAACCGGCTGACGGTCTTAATTGGGACTTATTTTAGGGGTAGGGCTTATATTACAAGCATCCTGAAACTCATGCTAGGGCTTATTTTCCAGTTAGGTCTTATTTTCAGGGAAACAGGGTCATAGCGTTGGAGGGGGCCTTGAAGGCCATCAGGTCCACCCCCCTGCTGTTGGGGACACCGATCTGTGAGAGCCACGCATCCCCTTTGGAGGGACTGCCCCACCTTCCGGGTGAGGGCAGGGACCATGCGAGCACCAGCTGTTCTGATTCCCACTGCAGGCTCTGAATGAGAACGCCAACCTTTCCTTTGTGCGCCCTCGCTGGATCTACAACTGCAACGAGCGGCAGAAGCTGATCCCCCACCAGCCGTACGTCGTGGTGCCGCAAGTGTAGGATTCGGCTCCTCCCAGGAATCGTGCATTCTGCATACTCCTCTCCGGAGGAAACGGCTCTCGCTGCCTCCGGGCCGAGTGGTGTGGAGCTCCCATTCATCTTGCTGGGATCCTTCCTCCCTGCGGAGGGCCTGCCTCAGCATGCCCCCGTTCACACACTGACACACAAGGTTGTACAGACAGAGCAGTGCTTTTGTCAAGTCTTCGTGGGTATGTGTGTTCCCCCCAGTAGTAGCTTTCACGGATTGTGTCGGAAGCCATTTTCACTTCCAGAGGCAGCTGCCACTCTTGAGAAGCTGCAGAAAAAGCTCCAGAGCCTCATCGTGTTTGCTTTGGGTCAGGCTCGGGCTCAGAAGGTGAAATGGGAGCTGGGCTTGAGCTTACAGGGTCAGGACTGAAAAGGGAGCTGTGTGCGCACCCATGTCTTCCACCCAGCCAGGTTTCGTCTTCCTGAGATCTCTTCACCCCTGTGCTTATACCACCTTTCTTTCTTTTTGTTCCCTTTCCCAGTTGCCCGAGAACAATGGAAGTTTGTCCCTTCCTCTTTGAAATATTGATCTAGAGCAGTGGCCCGTGTCTCACCATGTCCTCGGGCTTGCCCCCCGTTTTGGTGGGCGGCTCCAGCCATTCTGTTCTTGTGGTTCGGTGCTTCAGACCGGCTCACCCACGACAATTCCGTGAATGGGACGTGTTCCTTCCTCTTTACATACAGACCAGTAAACGTGCACACATGAATTAGTGACGCAGAGTTCCAACTTTGGGCAAATCCAAGTCTGGTTTCGAATCTGCAAATTCACTCGTCTCCTGCATGTTACCAAGTAGTGCATTTTACTTACCTGCATTTGCCGTGGAAAGTAGCGTGACTGGCCCACCGCCAACGTTCAGTGCAGGCTCCTGTGCACCAGCTGCTTGTCCCACCCCCACACCTGTTCCTCAGATGTGTGTCCACCTTCCGACATCACTCTGAACTCTGTGGCCAAGCGTTCTGTAGGGTACTTGGTCCCAATACCAAGCTGTTTGAATGCTCATCTCTCCCTCTCTCTCTCTCACTCTCAATGCTCATCATTCATTCTCTCTCCCTCTCTCCCTCTCTCTCTCTCTCGTGCGTACACACACACACACACACACACACACACACACACACACACACACACACACACACACAGTTTAAACAGTGTTCAGGGCTGCTATCGGGAAAAGCCATGATTGCATAAACCTGCATTGAAGCCACAAATCTCTGCCTTTTCATACAGAAAACAGGCTTCCAGCCCCAGCATGCCGTGCAGTCTGGGGCATGCTGGGAGTTCTAGGCCCATTTTCTGTCCAAGCATGGATTTGTGTCCTGAGTTTATTTTGCAGCTGCTGTAGCCCCAGAATTGACAGCTGGAACTTTTCATGAATTCAGCGTGTGGTAATGAGCAGCAAGTCATTTTAGGGACCGGTTAATTGCAGCAGGAATTACCCAATGCGCCCCTCTGTCCTGGGCAGAGAACTCTTGATTTTCCACTGGAGCAGAAACAGTGGAACCTGTTTCAGGGTGCTACTCGCCCTCCCCACAACTGAAGGTGCGTGCCGCTTGCTTTTTCCTGGCTGTGACCTGGCCTGGGAGGCCTCGAAGAATCTACCTCGTTTTCTGCACCCCCAGCCTCACGGTGCTGCCCTCAGCAAGCCAGAAACTGCTCATTCTGTCCCTCGTGTTCACGTATGAGGCCACCACCAAGGAGTTCACTGCTCGAGGATGCTTCGCAGCTGTCAGCCACAGCGTATCACCACAGAGGCTTGTCTTGTACCTGCTGTCTCTGAGGGCTCCCCGGCAGATTCCTTTCAAGGGGTTGTAGCCCAGACGCTTCCCTGGAACCCTGGATTTGGATGCTGCACTGGGGGAAGAACATCTCAGAGCCTTTCCTGCCCGCATCCCACTTCATCCTGCGGTGTGGCACGCTGGCAGTGGGGGCAGAATGAGTCCAGCAGAAGATTTGGAGGGACGGAAGTACCCCAGCAGCATGCCAACGGGCATAGTTCACCTGGAAAATCAGGTGCCCTTCAGCTAAGGCTACTGGAGTGGTGGCCAAGTTGTTCAAGGCAGGGTAAAGCTCCCATTTCTGGGGGAGTCCTCTCAGTGGTCTCCTCCTCCAGTGGGTTCCCCCCAAGTACAAATAATTGCCATCAAGTATCTGTGTACTCTGGTCCTAACGGAGGTGGGTGGTTCAAATGGAGAGTAAATTGGACAACTTTGGATAAGCTACCATGGCTTCTCCCAAGAGGCGCCAGCTTTGCGAGCTTGTCGCGAATGTGCATGCACCCCTTTTAAAAGCCACCACCTTCAGGGTGGCCACCAAGAGCTGGAGAGTCTCGGGTGACAGTCATACTGGATTGTGTATGTACCACAGCTCACGTGCCTCTAATGTTGATGGATTCTGTTTTCTAAAAATTGTACCCTAAGTCACAGCTTTGTCTGGGGCGCTAACAGTGGTGACAAATCTTCGGGGGGGGGGTGTTCCTGTCTTCCTCCCCTTTCTGCTTTGTTGTGTGTTTTTTTTAATAAATCAAGATTATTCTGCACTTCTGATTCTAGGTTATGGAACAGGGCAATTGTAAGTAATTCTTAGAATAGGCTTCCATGGCCTGATGTTCTCCAGATGTGTTGGGCAACTCCACATCTGGAGGTACCAGGTTCCCTTAGATCTTCATCACAGAAAATAAGATAACCTATGTGAAGATGTGGGTTTCTAACAGGATGCAAGTAGTTCTGGACAAAAGTCATGCGCTTCAGCTAGAAAGGGCATGGTGGCCGGGGGGCGGGATCATTCTGAAAATGCTGGAAATTTTTGCTCTGGACAAAATGGCTGCATGGCTTTTCCTTTGCCATTCCAGTTTGACCAAGTTGCTCCATCCTTCCATCTATCTTGCCTCTACAGACAGCTTCTCAGTTTCTTAACATAATAAATTTTAAAGCCAACAAAACTTTAAGTAAAACATATTCTAGGACTCCTGCATATTATGTGAATGTTCAGCTAACGTCTGTTTAATTTAGCATGACAAATATTCTAAAAATCTATTTTGGGGCGTTCTGTATTTTTTTAGAAAAACATTTACAAAATATGGAATACTTGAAGCACAAATGCTTTGATTTGCATCACCAATAGTTTAGAACTGCTTTATTAGATCTGATCGAGGTCTAACGAGTTCAGCTTTTGGTTTGCACCAACAAAATGCTTTGCAAGGTGATATCAACTGCTGCTTTTTCTTCTCCATTGCCTGATAAGCAGAAATAGACTGCTTAATAATATATAGGGGTTCTACCTAGCTGATGCTAGACTGTCTGAAAAGTCAGCATTTCTCATGTGCTTCAGCTTTAAAACTGACTCTGCTTTTATGTTTTATTAACTTTTCCGAGGGGGAAGGGTAGGTTAAGCTGCAGACTCCCACTGGAGCCCCCTGCCCTTTCTAAAGTAACTATGAACAAATCATGGACCAAGCAAACCCCTCCCTCCACCGAAAGAAACCCGACCTCACTGCCCCTTCGCAACACGCCTGCCCTGAAGGTTAAGGAACTGATCTGTGCTGAGTTGTGGGGAAGGGACCCAGGAGAAAGACGCACTGGCGAGTTTCAAAGAATAAAGGGAAGGTGTGTGTATAACTAATTGGTCTATGGATCATGGTGGAAGACAGACTTGCATCCAGAAAATGGGCAAAGAACACAATGTGCTAATATAGAAGTCAAACATTTCAACCAAGAAAAGACATAATCACCCCAAACCAGAGTGGGGGCACGTGATAGAAAACTAGGTGGCAAAACCATCACAGGAGGGACTTGGGACCAGGCTGTCAAATTGTGTATATCAAGTGGTGAAAAGCACAATCTGGACTGCCCCACAAAGCTGCGTTCCCCAGATGTGTAGATGCACCCGCCAGTCGGAACGTGAAAGTCATACAGGAAGCAGTGAACTGGCTGGAGGCATCTTCTGATGCAAAGGGAATCCTGCATCTGGAGTTGGCTTACAGCAGGTGCTGCCTCAGGGTCCGGTTCTATGACAAGGAATGCAAGATCAGGGCAACCTGAATAAATTAGACCTCATGAGCACATTTTCAGGCTTGTCTTGCCTTCCTGAGGACTAGAGACTTTTACTAGATAAGCCACCAGGCGTGTCCCGTGGCTGCCATCATGTGTCAACCCCCATGTTTAAGATGGCGTGTTCTGCATACCAATGCAGGCATGTGCCAGCTGAGCGACAGCACCAGCAAAGCGACAGCAAAGTCCTCTCCCACCAGCACTATGAAAAGATTGTGCGTATGCCTTCATTTTCTGTGAATTTAGGCCAGCTTTGTATATATGAGGAATTTTTTGCTTTCTGCAGGATTAGAACAGAGGAACCATGAGGCCGAAGACCGTGGTGCTTGCTTAAGCCAGAAAGATTACTTAAGCAAAATACGCAGCACAGATGCCCAAATCTGCGTAATTCATTCAGGTTGCGGAATCGGCCGTCTCGGCACAGCACCAGCGGTTCCTTAGCAGGCGCTGTGGATTGTTCTTCAACAGCATATACACAGTTTTGCCTGGGGGAGGGGGCCACTTGGCACTGTGGGGTGGGGAGGGGGAACGGCAGCCAGACCACCCACACCGTGGCGAACCCCACAATCCCTCCCTGGTCACACTCAGTTATATACAACAACCCCACTGCTGCACCAAGTTACCCACATTCCTCCGCTCCTTCCCCCAGCCCCACCTTGTCCGGACTCGGTGCGCTGCCCTAGGGCCTCTCTCCGTTGCTGTGGCCCTTGGCCTGGGAGAGGTCGTCCCCCACGTCCCCGTCCTCATGCACCCGCTGGTGCAGCGTGAGGTTGCGCAGCTGCCGGAAGCTTTTGCTGCAGCGCATACACGGGTAGGGGCGGCCCGCCGCGGCCGCCGCGTGGATCTGCTGGTGGGCGGCCAGCTTGGACGGGTAGCAGAAGCTCTTGCCGCAGCGGGTGCAGGGGTACGGGCGCTGCCCGGTGTGCGTGCGGCGGTGGGCGGCCAGCTTGGACGGGTAGCAGAAGCTCTTGGGGCAGTCGGCGCACTTGTAGGGGCGCTCGGGCGTGTGGATCCACTGGTGGGCCGCCAGCTTGGAGCGGTGTCCGAAGCGCTTGGGGCAGAGCGGGCAGGGGTACGGGCGCTCGCCGGTGTGCGTGCGGCGGTGGGCCGCCAGCTTGGACGGGTAGCTGAAGCTCTTGGGGCAGTCGGGGCATTTGTAGGGGCGCTCGGCACAGTGGGTCCATTGGTGCGTGGCCAGTTTGGAGCGGTACACGAAGCGCTTGCCGCAGTCTTTGCACTGGTAGGGGCGATCCGAGGGCAGTATGGCGGGCGGCCGGGGGCGGCGGGGGCGGGCTGGCTTGGGGGCCTCCGTGGTGGGTGGGGAAGACAGCGTGGTGGGCGGAGGCGACTTGGCGTTCTCCTTCAAGGCCTGCGAGTCTGGAAGAAAAGGAGGAAAGCTGGAAATTCACGCCTGCCCACCCCTTTTCCCGCCAGGGGATCGCTTTATTATATTACTACATTTATATCCCACCATTTTTTCTCCTGCAAGGAACCCAAGGCTGCTGACTCCATCCTCTTCATTTAATCCGCGCAACAACCCTGTGAGGTAGACTAGGCCGAGAGTGGGGGACCCAGTGAGCTTTGTTGCTGAACAAGGACTAAAACCAACCTCGCCCAGCACTCCCTCTGCATTCTGCCCCTAACAGAGAGGCTAAAGCGGACAGGGGCAACTTGTAGTGTGCCCACTGTTGCTGAACTGCAACTCCCATCATCCCTGGCCAGCATGGTGAGGGAAGCTGCAGCTGAGCAGCATCAGAAGGGTCAAAAGGCTCCCACTCCTGGCCTGAAGCCCCAGAGCAGTGCAGGGAAGGAGATCCAAATCTCATTCCAAACCATCTCGAAGCCTGCATGTTCCGTGGGTTATCTGAAAGGGTGCGTCGACGTGGCTAGGAAGCCTGCCTGGACGGGACTTTGAATTGTGAGGGCAGCTGTCTCATGCTGGCTAAGAAATGTTTTCCAGCACATCTGGGTGACACCCTCCAGCTCGGGGAAAGCTGATGCTGTGTAGAGCCATGCAGAGCCCTTTTTCAAACATTCTGCTCAATGTGCAGACAAGCTGAATGCCCTCGCATGATGGGCTTGGCGCTGGATGCAGCTCTGCCCCATGGGACCAGTCTGCATGCTCACGGAATGACAAAAAGCGGCTGCCACACTGAGGGAGGTTTGCTTCACCAGCTAAAACACATGCCTTGCGTGTCAGAAGTCCTAAGTTCCATCCCAGGCTGGGAAAACGGCCCTGTTTGAAATTCTGGCGAGCGCTGGATGCCTGGGTTCCGTATGCACGGGTCACATCCAGCAGGCAGCCCCGTTTCAAAAGCACTCCGTGGACGATCCCTGCCCAGCCTCAACACGTGCCCCACCAGATTACCCCACAGAGAATATGACCCTCGACAGAAAAAGGGTTCCCCACCCCTTAGACAACTCAGCTGCTTGCCTCCACAGGGAGCGCGTAGCTACAGGTGGCAGCTTTAAAACTGACTTTGATAAACAGTACAGGGCACTATTTGCTGGAAACGAGGCCTGGATGTTAAGGTAGCTTTGTACATGCCATTCGGGATGGCCAGCTGGTCCCAGGCCCGATGGCACTACAGCCCCAGGGGAATGGTGAGTCCAAGGGCAGAAAAGACCACGAGGTTTCCTTACCCACAATGCTGCTGGCCACGCCGGTCTTGCTGTCACTCATGCAGGGCTGCTCCCCCCTTTCCAGCATAAGGACAAGGGTTGGTCGAGTGAGAATGTAACCTGCGCAGGTGGGGACGTTGGGGAAGGGGAGAGGAAACGACGCCAGCGTCAGAACACAGCAGTCAACTGGGACGAAAGGACGCAGCAAAAAGATTCAGTAGGTCCTGGCCGTGCCACGTCAAGCATCTGTCCTGAGAAAAATCGGCCCGTGTGGGTTGCATTCAAGATTTTCCTTCTGCTTTTGGAAGGTTCCTCCACCCATTTTTGGGAGATTCCCCTTCCTCTACATACCGCAGCTCACTTTCATCCTGGAAAGTCCTCAGCCTCTGCATGGCAATTCCTGGGAACTTGGAGGGCTGTGTAGGAAAGCACTGGACAGGGAAGTCCCCTCCTACAAGCACAGGGTAGCCAGCCTAAATCTAGACCAGACCTGCCATGAGTTAAGCAACACATTTATGGAGAAGTCACGGATGTGTCGTTTCAGAAATAGCTCTGATTTGTTTTGGCTTCTACTGCGAACATTCTCTGAAACACTGAATTCCCACCTGGTGCCAAATTATTTACATATTTTTTATTTTATTTGTAGAACTGCACCCAAGAGCCCCAGGTAGGACTTTCTGGGTCATGTACCTCCAAAAAAGCATGTCATTTTGGCGCTTCAGCTGGATACTAAGCGCAATGGAAGAACACAGTAACTGTAGTGAGTGAAAAAGGTGTACTTGGACATCCTGGCTTTGTATATAAAATACAACACACACACACACACACACTTGTTGGAAGAAATGCAAGTAAGTGCTATGGCCAGGCAAACCTTGGACCCGGAGGGATGCAATAAACTGTGCTAAGAATATTTTTCATACAGCTACTAGTAAACAGGGATAGCGGTGGGAGTCATGGGAGATCAGTATGTGTAACTGTAAATGTCACAGCTAAATGGGAATCCAATAATGACTTGGAAATTATTCTTACTCTGAAATTTCAATGGCATTTTCTCTGACATTGCTGAAAATTAAAGAAAAAGATGAAGGGATCGAAAAGCTGTTAATGGGTTGCGTTTTGCATGCCCGAACAGCTGCTCAATATACTTATTTATAAATAATGATGACACAGAGCCATCTGATATTACATCGTATCAATTAATTATGGTATAGGTAATTGGTTTTTGTAAGCGTGTGCATATACATATACTCATGGAAAAAAATATAGGAACAAAATCCAGCCATTCCAGCCACCCAGTCATTATCCCTCAGAGTCTGTCCTCTCACATCACAGTTGGCCCCAGGGCAGACTAGAAAGAGCCCCTTTGCCTGTTCACCTATGGCGAACAAGAACTGGCTCTAGGTGACTAGGTAGATCAATGTTGTGAACAATGGTTCTGCTTTTTTTCCAGGACGCGAGTGGCCATCCTCAGAAAGTGTGGCAAGTGGGTTAGCCATTTTTGTGTGCCGTTGGCATGTCCAGCCTTGGCCTGGCATGGGGCAAGCTGGCGGCTTTAACGAACGGCATTTCAGTAGCATCGTTCCCTCGTGGCTTCTCATCTCCCACAAGGCCCTGGGATCCAATTACTGCTAGATTCTGCTACTGTTCAACCTGGCGTAAGTGTGGAGTTGCTATGGTAACTTGCTGGAATACAGGCCAGGAAGGAGGAGAGTCAGTGGAGAGAAAGAAAAAGGGATGTGCTTCCTACAGGAGTCAAACAGAGGGGGGGGGGGGGTTGCTGGTCCAAATACAGCGTGCGTGTGTGTGTGTGTGTGCAGCGTTGCTGAACAAGGGGCACAGGCTCCCTTAAAGGAGGAGTACACAAAAGCAAAACAAAACATCTGGAAGACTGCAAGGATTTGCTCGTACCATGGCTTGTCCCCACTGCCCATTTTCAGTGATCAAACCAGGCAGAAGTCCCCCTCCACCTTAATGGCTTTCGCAGCTCAACAACTTCAAGGAGAAGAAAACATTGGAAGCCCCCTTAGATGGAGTCTGAATCCTTGCAGCCGCCCTGGAGATGCCGAGTGCCGAACTCAGGGCCTCTTGCACAGAAAGTACACGCCCCCTCCAAGCATCCCCCCCCCTTCAACTAGCTGGACCCAGACAAACCCAAGTTGCAGGAATCCTTATAGTCTTATGCCTTTCCTCAAGTTGCTGTACCCTCTGGATGTGCTGGTGTACACCCCTCCCATCATCCACAGCAGCATGGCTGGACTGGGCAAGGGTGATGGGAGCTGTGGTCAGGCACAGCAGAAGGGTAGCGGATGAGGGAAGCCTTTGGGGAGACTGAGGAAGACACGAGACATGCCTGCTTCCAACAAGAAGTCTGTTCCAAGTTGCCTTGGGTCACCATGGAGGGCAGAGGGGGGAGAGGGGAAAGGGCGCAGGGGAAAAGGGGGGAGATGAATGCAGTGCAGTGCAATGCAATGATTCCTCTGCTCCAGCAGGGAGAATAGGGGATATATTCTGTCCAGTGCTGGGTCCTCAGTAATTCGTATCAGCCCACCAAACTGCAAAGAGGTTTGCTGAGCCGAATCAGTAACCTCGGAGCTATCCTGTCTCCTGGGTGGGTGTCTCTTTCAGTAAGCGGCTTTTTGGGGGGTACACCTGCAGGGCCAACGTTTGCACATGCAGTCACGGGAACCCCCTCCCCAAAAAGCTTCGTGGTCAAGCAGCATCCATCGCTGCTTAAAGTACAATTTGGGGGGCTGCAGCTGAGCTGAGCTGAGCTGAGCGCGCCCACCTGCAGTGAGCGCCCACCTGGGCGAAAGCACCACAAAGACGCGCACCGGACCGCGCAGGGAAAGGCTGCCTGGAGCGGAGGGCAGCGGGCGAGTTCGCACGACGGGTGGCACCGCTGCCCGCCACCCACCTGGGCGCGCGCCCCTGGATTCGGCTCGGGGGGCTGGGGCGAGTCAAATGCACGCCCCCCCCCCGGGGCAACCCGGCCCGTTCTGCTTGGCGACAGAGCCAGCCGGGCTTGCCACAAAGGCTGCCAGCCGCGCACGCTTGCTTGGGAGTAAGCCCGCCGCGCAACGCGGGGCCACTTCGAGCCAGCCCAGGGGAACGCGCTGCCATCGTGACTCGGCCGCTCTCGCCAAGCCAACGGCCGGGCGAGCTCTGCCGCCTCGACAGGGGCACAACCCTCTTGAGATCCGGCGTGTGCGAGCCATTTACACGCGCGGAAACGTGGCTTTGCTGCAATGCACCCGCTTTACACCATCTTGCTGCCTTGTGCCAGCCTCAAGGGGTGCACAACAACGGAGCGGGGTGGGGGGGGAGAAACTGCCCCCAATCGCCCTCCCCTTTTGCCCGTGCTAGGCCAAGAGTGATACAAATCCCCGGCGGCGCCTTCATTTCCGACAGCGGCTCGCCCCCACCCTGGGTTGAGCTTGCCCTGCATCCTCGTCTCCAGCTGGGCCTTCAGCGCCTTCCTCCTCCTCCTCCTCCTCCTGGCTCCCCCTCCACTCACCCGCCCGGGAGCCTCTCCCGGCTTCAGGCTGCCTCTGGGGTCTCCCCTTCATGAGCCGATCGCGCCGGGTCATGCTGTCCCCGCGGGGGGCCAGGCGACGCGCCCCACCGCATCCCTTTCCCAGCCAGTCCCCAGCGAGGCGCGGGCGCAGCAGCCCGGCTGGAGAGGAGGGTCTTTCTGGCTCGCAGCTTTCTCGACCAATCGGCGCCTTCCCGATATTATTGGGGGGGGGGCACAACGTGTGCGCGACGAGGTAGCAGCGACGGAAGCAAGGGCCGTGGGGCTCCCTGCTTGCAGAGCCAGACATCCCCCCGCCCCAAGCAAGCACGCAGACCCTGGACGAAACCGAAGGAAGAAAAGGAAATTTCCTGCTCGCGGGATCCTGAATGGCCCACAATGCGAACACCCTCGAAATGTGGGCGCTCATGTTAACCAGACGTGGCTGCCTTCACAAGCACAACCCATGAACAGAGCCTGTGGTATGTTGTGGCACTGCAAAGGACGGGAGCTCTCCACAGGTGGTTCTCTTGGCTAGTTCAGGTAGCACAATAACCCCCGGTTCAGCCAGGATTCATGGTTCAGCAGCCCACCTGCAACGGCTGAGTATGAGTTACCTGTTGTCTGAACCCAGTCAGTGTAGAACTGCAGCTTAACAAACTCAACTGATGCTTTACATCTGATTCCAAAAGCTACGTGAGCGTGTGCATATATTTCCGTATGTGTGTGCATAAAATTAAATTAATAAGTCCCTCACATTACAAGAAATGTCTAAGCAACATATAAAAATACAGCAGAAGATGACAATTAACTATTATGCAGAAGACCAAGTTCCTGGGAATGGGGGTTGGGGAAAGATGCTTTCAGCAGGCAGCAAAAATCTCAAGGATCAGTGCCTATTTCGTAAAGGTAGGGAATTCCAGAAAGCTGGTGCTACAATACTAACGGCCTGTCCCTGGTTATTGTAAACAGGACCTCCAAAGGCTTGGACACCACCAGGAGGGACTGTAAATTTCATTTCTTTATTAAGAACATGTGTACACTGCTTAATGTAGCAAAATCTGAAAGCAGTTTGCCTGCTAAGTAAACATAACCCTTAAAATAAGCAGTTAATAAACAATGATAGGCTCAACAAGAAGAAATAAACAGCAAGCAATTAATGCAATTTATAAACAACTATAGAAAAGTTCCAGATGGAACCACAGCAGTTATAGGCCAGGAAAAGTTTGCATAGCAGGCCTGTTTACAGGAAGTGTTTAAAATTCTCCACACTGTTTGCTTCTCAGTTAGCATACAGTCATATGCACACCGAGAGTAATGCAAACACAGTTGTGGTCTAAGGGCCCATCATCACATTGCATAGCATTGCACTGAGATGCTGCTTTTCTTCCTCTTCCAAGTAACCCTGCAGCTTACCAGGGTCTCCTCCTCTGCATTTGATCCTTGCACAACGGCACTGTGAGGACGGTTATGCTGACGGCCTGCAACTGACCCCAAGTCACCCAGTGAGATCTATGTCTCAGCGGGGCCTAGCACCCGGCTCTCCCACGCCCCAGTCCTGCGCTCTCAACCACAACACCACAGCAGCTGTCAGAGCCAGTGCCTGGAAATCAGCCCCCTTGCTCAAACATCCCTAGAACCGCAGCTGTACGTTTCCAACGTGGGAGATGTCTAATGAAGCACAGGAGGCCTCTTGCCTTGGCCAGGGCATATGGCTCCTGTGCTGCCTGCACAGTGTGTTGGGCACCACTCTCCAGGGTTCATTAGCCTGACTGGAAATTACACCACTTGGCCCCCATAAAGCCCTTCCCTCTAATTCAGGCAGCTGCCAGTTCTCAGCAGAGAGGCAGGGAGCACACATGCCAGACACCCGCTTTCTCTGTTGGCACCCTCTGGCTGAGTCCTCTGAGGCTGTAAATGTGCTCAGACAGATAAGCAGTAATGCCGAATCAAACCAAAAGCCTGTCCCACCCAGGCCGCTGTTCCCCAGGGTGGCTGACCAGGCCCCTCATTTGGAGACCTCACAAGTGGGACAGGAGCACCACAGCACCCCGCTGCTTGGCTGGGCTGTGTGCGCGCAGCCCCAATCAGCCAGGTTGCAATTAAGCCCTATCTGTCTATTCCACACCCCTCATTTCCCTTTGCCCTCTTTCTCTATCCTGCAGTGCTGTGTGATGTATCTTTGGAGCGTACACAGCTGTGTTATGCAAATAGTAGTGGTAATAGCTAAAAATATTTCCTGTATTTTCTGTCTGAAAGCTCAACATTCTGCAGATGAAACTGGGTACAGCAAGGCAGGCAACATGCAGTCTGACCGGCCTCACAGGGCTATTGGGAGGATAAAAAGAAAGGGAGGGCTATATAAATTGTCCCATGCTTCTTGGAAGAGAGAAAAGGGGCATTATTTAAATGTTAAGTAAATAAATGTGCCCCAGGGACCAGTTCCATGGTCAACTTGTTGCATTGGCCATTTCTAGCTCTGGATCCGCCCCTCTCGCTCAGCAGCGATAAAACACGGACAGACTACCAGGCCCAGAGAGAAAACGCCCCTAAAACAGTTCTGCACTTTTAAGATACCGCACTGGAAAGCACGAGGAAAGTGCAAGAGATGGGATAAAAGAAGGAAACCTATTCGCATAACATTTATAGTCATCCTTTCTTTCCTGGAAGTCAAGGCAGGGCAGGGGGTCCCCAAGTATTTTCCCATGTTATGCAAGAAGGGAGAAGACACCAACCGTCTTAGTTTTGCTTTCACTGCTGCTCACGCCATCCTTCCCCAACCGGGTGCTCTCCAGATGGGTTGGACTAGAGCTTCCATCAGCACCAGGCAGCGCTGGTATGATGGTAGCTGCGATGGAAACTGTAGTCCAACCCACCCGATTGGGCCACGGAGGGCACGACACTGGGAAAGACACCAGGGGACATAAACAGCTCGATCGTTATGCGTGCCAGGACTGCAATTCCCACTGACTTCACTGCGATTTACTCCCAGGCAAGTGAAGTGTGTACCAAGAATGCGATGCATGCATTCAGGTTTTTTCGAGCTGGGGATTTTGAGAGGGGCCCACTTCGGAGCAGGATTCCAGATTAACCGTGCAACCCGATACGTGTCTTCTCAGAAGTAAGTACCACGGCGTCCAACGGGACGTCCACACGTTGGACAGGACTGAGGGTAAATTGCAAAAAACAGAGGGGGGGGGGTTCTCGGAGCTGCTCTTCCTTAGTCTGGCAAGGGACTGGCGCTTCCACGCACATCAACAGCGCATTCTTCGGCCCCGCTTTTTCTGCAAGCAAAAGGATTTGCGCTTTTGGCATGCGAAGCTCGAGTGGAATGTACCACGCGAACCTTCTTAAAGACAGCGCTGAAGCGGGCGGCACGGGGGGGACTCTTTGGGTGGGTTCGCTTGCTTTTTTAGAAGTAAATCCAGTCGCGCAAAGGAGGGCAAAGCCCCCAAAGTCGCCGTCAGGATTATGCGCGAGAGCAAACGCGGAACAATGGGGCGCGGCCCCGCAACCAAACAGAAGCGATCGAGCGGAACTACCTGCAGCCGAATCGAACGAGCACGCCCGGCAGAGCCACGTTCAGGGACGGTCCCCCCCGCTCTTCCCGGGCGTTTGGTCTCACCCGATGAGAGAGGGCGAAGGAGTGACGTTGCAACGGTGGCTCGCCGAGGACAAAAGGGAGCGGCTCGTTTGCCGAAGGGTTTTGTTAGCACGGATGAGCCTGGCGGGCGTCGGGAGTACGGCGTTACTCTGTATCCCACCATTCAAAAATTTAGCAAGGGAAGCTGTTCCTGGCGTTGGAGCGAAACAGCGGGGAAGGCTTCCCTGGTTTAGTTTATCTTACGAATGCTGCAAATAGCTATTAATAAATGTTTTATAAATCCATATAAAATATCCATCTTTTATTAAAATAATGCAACATTTTAATAGTGCAAAATAGAAAAAGTGGATACTGCAGTCTTCTCTTTATTTTTCCTTCCTTGTGCTCAGATCTGCCAGAATTTGGACTATCTTTTTATCTTTCTCCACACACAGATCCCTGGGAATTCAGATTATATTATTCTTTTTAAAGAGGGGGTTTCTTTGCAAAAAAGGCAGGGAGAGGAAAAAAGTAGACATCACTTTCTCCACCACCATTATCTTATGTTGTGTGCTTGTAAAAATGGCTTGTGATATCTAATCACATTTTCTTCCCTCCATCATAATTGCACCAATCATGCAAGAGCAGCCCTTTAAACAAACATTTCATTCTTTTGTTGCTTCATTTCATGTACAGTTTGCCTTCTTTTTTATTTGTGCTTATTGTACTTGTATTGCATATTATGTAAGCTTCTTTGAGTGACCTTTTTTCCTTTTTGGAGGGGAAAATCTGGCTAAAGATACCTTAAATACAGCATTGCATCTTTGCCTGTTTCACATGTGCAGCCAAGACACCTTGCCCCTGTGGCAGAAGAAAAGAATACTGAATTGGTGATTTAGGCATAAATCATATGCATGTTCAGACAGAAGCCCTACAAAAGTTTGTAACCACGGGGAGGCTGAGCTGGCTCTGTGTGGCTTTTAATTGAGATGATTTCAAATGTAAACCTATGCATTTTCAGAGAGAATGGGAATACCAGACATAGGACTTTTTTCTTATCAGAACGTGAATAGGGCCGCATCTTTACTTAGGATTTGTAGCTCTCACACTTCTTGATGCCGCATAGCACTCACTTCTGTGCTCTTGCTGCACCTGGCCTGTACCTGCCCCTGCCTGGTACGTACGGCAACCTAGCCCTCCGGTACTGTTCTTAAGCACCATGTAAACTGCAATTATATCCACCTCACTTTAGTACACACATTTTCTGCCCTGTAAAATATAAACACAGGGTTGCCCTTTGTGCACATAAAAGGCAGCGAGTTTTCTGCCCTTGGCATGGAAACGCTTTGCTCCATTTCCTGGAGTTCTCTACAATTTCCTGGAGAACGCACTTGGTTGTTCTGTCAGCTCCAGAGGTTCCTCGATACTTGCCAATTAGTCTGTTGCTGCCACCTGTTACTGATTGGCAAAAATCACCAGCACTCCCCTGTTGATATCCTTGGCCTTGTGATTCAGTATAGGATGCAAACAAGGTTAAAGGTAGAGAATGTTTCATGCTTCTCCTTGAAACTTGTTTATTACAAGATCCAGACCAAGCAGTCAGCATATGAATATTACTAATGGCTCTAATAACCTTTAGGACCCTGCCAAATCTTCCAGGCTTCTAACCAACTTGCCCCGTCAGCTCCCATTTCTAAACAAATGGAAGCTGCAATCCTATACTGGTTTAGACAGCATAATGGCCTATATCTTCCCACATTCTTCACTCGCTGGAATCCGTGGGCCTTTGCTCTGACTAAACCTGCACCTCGACTCCTCTCTGATCCTTTTCTCTAGCTGACTTCCTCATTTGACTCACATCTTTCCAAATGGCCCCTGCTGTAAATCATTCTCTGCTCCTAATGCTGCCAGGCAAGGCTTTTAGAGTGCCATTGCCCTGCCTGGGTCACAGAATTTTATGGCGTGGAGTGTGTACAAGTGTGTCCAGATGTTGCTGCCTTTCCCTTGTGTTTTCTTACTGCTTTTCCCGTATTTTTTGCTTAGAACAGAAAGTCCATTGAGAGTGCAGCCCTGTGCATCTTTAAACAAAAAGGGCTGCCATCCCTAGCATTTCCTAGCCAGCTGGCTGGGGAACTAGGGGCTGAAGGCCTTTTTCTGTCTAAACACACACCGATCAGAAAAGGTGGAGTAGCTGCCCGATGCCTTTTGATTGGTCAGTAGCACGAAAAGCCGTCTGTCAGAAGTAGAAACTACTCATCTATCTGTTTCACTGGCCCCAAGTTTATTAGAGGCTTTTTATGGGGACATCTCTGCGTCTAGATTTCATACCTGTGAGTTCAGATCATGTTTTAACGAGCTGCCTATGTCTTTGCCTACCCAGAGGCAGTGTAGAAATAAGGGGAAGAATGCCTTTGGCTTCGCTGCCTCTCTCTCTGGGACTAGTTGGCATGGGAAGAAGAGGAAAGAGGAACACACAGACACATCACAAAGGTCCCTTCCTAACACATCAGCACTAGAGCTTACTGGTGTAAAGCTGTGAACATGACAACTCCCATATCTAGGATTGTGTTTACCTAGATACTCATAAGGCCAGTTCTCTGCACTTTACGTGACTCAAGGCAAGAGTTCTGTGGCCAATTAAGTCCCTGGAGCCAAACCCTGGGGAAAGTTTGTTGTCAGCAAAACTTAGGGTTACAGTGTCATTTAAAAAAGAGGGAGCGCCTTGATTTGGAGCTAACCTTTGCTCTTGCATTTGTAAAAAGACTCTTCCTCATCAGCAGGGCTGTGGTACGTCTAACTTTCAGGGGTGCCTTGACTTTCAGGGGTGTCTTGTTATTCCTGTGTCTGAAAAAGCGGTTCTTAGTCCCTAGAGTTGCCCCTGTCTGTGCATTTTATCATCCCTTGGTTTCCCCATGTTTCTTCAGCAATTGCAGCAAAACACTGCGATTAGTAAGAAGCTGAAGTTGGTTGCAGCTGTGTCTAAAATACTTGCTAGGCACATATTTGAATATGAGAAGCTGCCATGCATGGAGTCAGAACTGTGGCCTGTTTACTCCGAGCAAGTTTGTGCGAAGGGTCTTTCTTCTCTCTCTCTGGGCACCTGGTCCCTTTTAAACTTGAGATGCAAAGATGGAAGCTGTGGTCCTGCGCATCAGTGTAGCAATCACCCCGTTTCTGCTACCTCCCCTTCCTTTCTGGGGTGCAGGACAGGATAGCTTTGCTATTGTATCAGGAGCTATGGGCCAAGCAAAGACTCAGCAAATGGAACCTGCTTGGATTGGTGCTACAGGGGGAAGTGCAGCTCTTAAAGGCACAGGCACCCTGGCAGAGGGGTGGGGGTGACACCCCAGGATCCAACATGAGCTGCACTGGCCAGGTGGTGAGGAGATCCGCGGGGTGTATATTCCCACTCAGCCCCCAGACTTGCTGGATGACGTCAGGACAGGGCACTGTCCCTCAATCTAACCTGCCCTGCAAGGTTATCATTGAACTGTTTAAACTGAATGCTGCCCATTTTTATTATTAATTTCATTCTATACTACCCAGTGGCAGTAGCTCTGCAGCAATGCCTACAACCCAATAGAATAGAAAATGCAGTAATAGGCAGTGTGAGTAGTGGTTAGGGCATCAGACTGGAACTTGAGAGATCCAGGTTCTAGTCCTCACTTCACCGTGAAGGTCACTTGTGACTTTGGGCCAGTCATGAACTCTCAGCTAATTTACCACACAGGCGTATAGTGAGGATAACACGGAGAGGAGGAAGATTGTGTAAGCCGCGTTGGTTTTGCAATTCTGAGTTGCGCTATCACTCTACCGGCAGCAATTAAAGGAAAAGCAATCACAGCTGGTGACAGTGATTAGGAAGCCAAGTCTTGGGGGTGTGCGCGCCCTGTGAACAGGAAACAGTTGCTCAGGCCTACAGGACATTAAAAAAAAGGCAGAAATTTGCATTTGCTAATTTGCATATGCTTCCAAATCTTCCTGGGTGTGTCCTCAGGGGGCCCTGTCTAAGGACACCCCTCTTTGTAACAAAGAAAGAGGCCATACAAGAGGAGGGCATTTGACTTCAAAGAAAACAACCCCACAGGCATAAAGATTTAAGGGACGAGGCAGGAGCAACAGGAAGCAAAAGACTGTGCGATCAATGCTTATTTTATTTCCATCCCATCACAGCAGCAGCTCTCCGCGTGGCTTACAACCATGCATAGTACAAAATGCAGATGCAATAAGCACACCGTATACCTGCAAATAAAGTGAAAACAGGTATGGGCGGCGGGCCAACGGGTCCAGAAGGAACCGATGCAAGGGAGTTCGTTGGGGTCCGTGCCTTCATTTCAGCAAGTGCCCCTCGACAGCAGCGTGGCGGCCAGGGGCAGGCAGGGGGCTTTCTACAAATCGGGGGGGGTGGCTCTTGCAGCCCCCCTTGAAATGAGGCGCGCGATCATTACTGTAGGTTATTTCAGCAGGGCGACGGGCACCTCTGCCCTACTCGCGTGCAACGGCCAGGCGCGGACACGGCAGCGACCCAGGCGCCCCGTCCGCCGCGCCGGGGGGACGCGCGCAGAGAGGGCCCCTCCGGCCCAGGGCGCCTCGCCAGCGCCCTCCCCGCCGCGTGCGCCTGTCCCTTTAAGGGGCCGAGCCCTGCCCCGCTGCGGGCCGCCGCTCCTCCCGGGCCGCGGCCCTTCCCCGCCTGCCGCCCAGCCTCGCGCCTCGTAAAGGGCCCGCGCGCCTCCCCTCGCCGCGTTTCCTCGAGAGCCGGCGCGCGATCCGCAGGCTGCCCCGATGTGGCCGGCGCGGAGGTGCCCGGCCGCGCTCGCCGCCGCCGTGCAGGCCCAGCGCCGCTCCTGCGCCCGCTCCGCCCAGCGCGGGGGGCTGCTTTTCCGACAGGTGAGCCGACTGGACCGCCCCCGCGCCCCCCCCCCCGCTCCAGGTGCGCAGCGCAGCGCCGCGCTGCAGGGGCGCGCCGCCAGCCTCCGCCCGAGGGCGAAGGGGCCGCGGGGAAGGCGATGGAAGCAGCGGCAGAGGCTCCGAGGGAGGAACCCTTGCGAGGATGGCCATGCTGGCCGCGGGTTGCCAACTCGTCGCCTCTCATAGTGCTCCTCTGCCTCCGAACGGTTGCATTGCACGCAGAATTCCAACAGGTCAGGGCTTTCTTCTCCGGAATCCAACAGCTGGGGGAGAAACTTAGTCTGCATAAGCTCGGAGAGCCAGATGTTGAAGAAAAACGCTGGAGGTCTGCTGGAACACCCCGAGATGCAAATCAGCCTAGTTGATTATTATATTTTGATTAAATTTGTAGCCCGCCTTTTTTCTTGCAAAGAACCTAAGGCAGTCTATATAGCACTCCTTTTAAAGTTTTGTCCTCACAACAACCCTGTGAGGTAGGTCAGGTGAAGAATCAGTGACTAACTTAAAGGCCAGTGGTGAGCCTCCTGGCTGCTCAGGGACTAGAACCCTGATCTCCCGAATTCTCAGTCCAGCCCTCTAACCACTGTACCATACTGATGCAATAGTAATTGTGTGCCGGTAACTAAATCAACACTATATGTTCTTGCTCTCCAGTATTGAGATCAGTTTGATGGTGACTTAGCAAACAGCTAGCAATCGAGACTCCTGCGTTTTATTTCCTGGGTGTCGAAAGCTTCCTTCTAGCAGCCTGGCTGTCCACATAGTTTAAAGGGCATCCCACTGAGTTCAAGGAACCATGTGCAGGAGCTAACCAGAGGCCTTCTTTCTCTCCATAAGCTCTTCGAAAAGGAAAGCTTCACGTACACCTACTTGCTGGCAGATGCAAAGACCAAGGAAGCCGTCCTGATAGATCCAGTTCTGGAAACGGCCAAGAGAGATTCAACGTTGGTGAAGCAGCTTGGGCTTAATTTGCTCTATGCAGGTGAGTTCCAGTTTGTATTTTGCTGCTCCTTTTTCTATCCTTGTATTTATTTTTGTAATGCTGGAACTTCAACTTAAAACATTCCACGGGGAATTTTGGGAACAGTTCCAAAAGCTTCAAGGGGTAAAAACTGGCCTCCATGGGGATGAGGGATGAAGTTAACATGAGAAGGAAAGAGGCGGTGTTGCTTTCTGCTGCTAGATAGCATAAACATTCCAGGATTGCTGCTGCTTCGATTTGGAAGGCAGAAGGCTCTTAAAGCCTAGTGAAATTTGAGTAGCGTGCTTGGTTCATGCTGCCTTTTTAGCTCAAATACTTCTCTGCATTTTATTTTCACAACAATCCTGTAAGGTAGGGTAGGCTGAAAGTCAGTGATTGGCCCTGTATTGCCCCAGAGAGCTTCATGGCTGGGTGGGACCTAGAACTTATGAGAACTTGTACAACTCCTGAGTCCCAGTCCAACTGTCTAACCACACTGGCTCTCACAAGACACTGAAAAACGGCATAAAGAAATGTATACTTCCTTACTTTATTTGAAGCATGTTCTGCATGGCAGTTGGTGGATGTTCACCAGATAAAATTCAGGATTTGTGTCTTTTGGAAGATGAAACCATGTTAAGTGCATCTTCTTAAAAATGGAACCATAAAATAATAAAGTTAACAATGTTCGGCAGCTCAAACAATAATTAAACTCAAGAGCTGCTGACATTAAGCTAAACACAGAAGAACTTAGCAAACGCAAAGGTCTCAGCATGGCACTGAAACTTGCCAAATTTGCTGCCTTCCGTGCTGCCTGGGGATTATGGGAGTTGTAGTTTAACCCAGCTGGAGGGTGCTCTGTTGGATGAAGCCTGCTTGTAGCAGGAACTGTGCCATTTCTGTCTGTCTGGTTTGGAAGGTGGAGGTTGGTGTTTTGACTTTGGACGTGGTGTTATGATGCCAATACCAGAGCTTTATCCTCTCTTTCTCCCTCTGCCTCTCTCGACTTCAGTGAGGTAAAATTTGGTGGCATCCAGGGAAGGAACAATATAATGCCACAATCTACCCATGAGGAGGTGTACCTGGATCCTAGCTTCACATAACTGCTAATGAGCCTGAACTGATCAGGAAAGGGACCTCGGGGTGATGGCGTGAGCTCAGTGAAGGCAGTGGCACAGTGCCCAGCCACTGCGAAGAAAGCCAAAGTCCGTGTTGTGGGCATGAGAAAAGATACTTGCGTCGTAATAACTTTATACAAATCTCTGATGTGTTCGTGGGTTTCCTGTAAGCGTTGCTTGGCCACTGTGGGTACAGAATGTGAGACAAGGCAGATCAGACCTACCTGTTAGACAGGCCATCGTCATGCTGGTTGGGGATGATGGGAGTTACAATCCCAGCAGTTCTGGAGGGCGCCAGGTTGGGGAAGGCTGCGATAGGCCCCTGGTCTGATCCAGCAGGGCTTTTCTTCTTCTTGATTGATTGGTTTAAAGCTTTTCTATCCCATCCTGTTACACAGAGTCTCAGGACTTGTGCGCTCATGCTGGTGGAATGCCAGTGGTAAGGAAGGGAGGCTCGCTGGCCTCCTGGAGCCAGAGTGCCACAGGCACACGGGAAGATGCCTCCTAGAGTCAGGCTGCAGGCCCGTCTAGCCCAATATAGTCAACACCAGCTGGCCGCAGTGTCCCACCAGCACTGCAGGGGGGATTCCTTTGTCTGGAGAAGCCGGGGTTGACCCCAGCGCCTTCTGCGTGCAAAAGCAGGTGGGTCTGTCCCACGGAGCTGTGACCCTGTAGGATCTTGGCATGTGTATGGAGGAGGCCTTCTCTTCTGTAAGCAAACCTGGGGCTGACAATAAATTTTGGGTGCCAAACAGGAATTCATGGGTGTGTTGTTCATACTTGCCAAGGTTAAGAGAGTGGCCAAAGGCTGCCTGGTTAAGAGAGGGTGGGGTCGCTGCTATGTCGCAATGGGAACCATGTATTTATTTATTGGATTATTACAAAGGGCTCAAGGCAGCTTACATCATTCTCCTCCTCTATCTCATCCCCACAACAACAACCCTGTGAGGTAGGTTGGGCTGAGTGTCTGTGACAGGCCCAAAGTCACCCCCTTGGCTCCATGGCTGAGTGGGGACTAGAATCCGGATCGCCTGAGTCCCAGTCCCACGCTCTTCACCACTGTGCCACACTGGCTCTCACGACGGCCTTTTCCTCCTCTCTCGCCCTCAGTCAACACCCACTGCCATGCGGATCACATCACGGGCACAGGACTTCTGAAGAAGCTGCTTCCCGGCTGCCGGAGCGTCATCTCCAAGCACAGCGGGGCCTCGGCTGACATTCTCATCCAGGAGGGGCATACCCTCCAGTTTGGAGCTTTTGTAAGTATGTGGGCAGAGGGCTGGAGAACAGATAGTATGATGGGACTGGCAGCAAATAATGCATTATCTTATCCCACCTAGCAAGAGTTTCCTGCTCAGGGATTCAGCCGACCCTTCTCTCCAAGCAGGGGGCTTAATTCCTGTCATCCTCTCTTACCTTTTCTTTTAAAGCAGAAAGTTAAATTTGTCTGCAGCACTGCTGAACATACTCAGCTGACTGGGGATGGAGCGCATTGCCCCCTGAGTTACTGTATTTTAAAGATCTTTAAAGGGGTTTTGGTACATCTGCAAACCTCTCCCCAGCACATTGATACCTCCCCCTCGTTGCTCAGTCGCTTAGCTTGGGCCTTAATCCTGGTGGCACCTGCCTCTTGAGTCCTTTTCCAGCGGAGTCCTGCTTTCTCCTGCCCACTCGCCTCTCCCAGTTGCAGGCCAGGCGTGTGTCTGTCGTAAGCGCGGCTCAGCGGCCACATGCTGGTTTTGGGCGCTCCGCTCTCTTGCTTGTGTGCTTATTCTGCAGCAAGTTGGTACATCAAGTCATCTCTGCTGCAATGGGCATAACAGCGAACATTTCACAGGACTGTTGTTGGTTGGGAGCATCATTTGTTCAGGGGATGCTTTCTAGCCAAATTAGGTAGGAGTGACTCTTGCTGCTTATTTAGGATGGATTCTTGCTGCTTTTTTTAGGATATGGAATGGGCTTCCAAGGGAGGTGGTTGAGGCCCCGTCAGTGAGAGTGTTCAAGGAAAGGTTGGACAACCACATGCTGGGGATTACATGAGCAGAGCTGGCTGGAGCCTGGGTCGGACTAGATGGCCTCGGAGGCCCCCTCTGCCTCCCTTTTTTCCCTATGTTTCTTTCACTGAATTGGACATGGTGGGCAGCCTGGCCAGGGGATCCGGAATAAGGGAGGGTCCCATGGCTTCTCCTACTGCCACTGCAGGCCCTGGAAGCGCGTTCCACCCCTGGACACACTGATGGTTGCCTGACCTATGTGCTGAATGACAAGGGCATGGCTTTCACTGGGGACGCCCTCCTGATCCGGGGCTGTGGACGGACAGACTTCCAGCAAGGTATGGCTGTCTTGCCGGAGAGGAGGAGAGAGTGCGGCCGCGTCTGGGAGAACGGAGCCCTGTATAACAGGGAATGTCTGTGTAGGGCTGGATCTGTCTGGGGCCCACTGGATTTGGCCCAGCTGCCCTTGTGGTGAGCAAGCACGCTGCAGAGGGGTGTCACGCCCAGCAGAATGGCCCAGCTCAGTCCCTTGGATCCCATCCCATCCGCCCAGCCAGGCACCGGATGCGCTTCGAGCCACGGCACCGTCTTGCACTGTGAAACCAAGCGGCATCTCGTATACTTTAACACCAGGGCAATTTGCATCGATCCCAGCCTCGTTCTGGAGCTTGCTCAGTTTGTCTTTATGCAAGAGAAGGGCAGGATTTATGCAGATTCACCTGGCTTTAAGAAATACAAATTGTCACTCACTTCAAAAGTGGAAGCTGCGGGCAGGCGGGGGGGACCCTCCCCCAACTCAGTTCGCAGCTCTCAAGTTGACGAGGAGCTGAAATTGCACGGAGCATCGTTCTGGCGCTCAGTCGTGTATGGATACGGGAATGGCCACATTCTGTTTTACTTTGGAAACTGTTCTTGTTTGGGTGCAGGTGGCTGTCCAGGATGGAGCTTCATAAGCAGGCAGAGGATGGCTTTGCACTGGGGCCCTGGGCACTGAATGTGCAACAGGTGGCCTGCGGTGGCTAGAGGACCCCCCCCCCCCATCAGGGGCAGTCTTGCGCTCTTTTCGGCGTGTTCACTGAAAGCCTGGGTGGAGCATGTCGATTTGCTCTGCTAAAGATCCAGTGCGCAAACGAAGCAGAGGGTGCTGGCATTCTCTCGGTGCCCTTTGAGCTCAGCTGGCTCCGTTTCTCTACCAGGTAACCCGGTGACCTTGTATCACTCAGTGCACGAGAAAATCTTCACACTCCCCGGAGACTGCCTCATCTACCCTGCCCATGACTATACGGGTGAGTTGGGGGCTCCGCTCTAATGGGAGGGGGTTCTGGGGGGTGGGGGTTATAGGTGGCGGAGGATGAAAATGCAGGCTCTTACACTTCACTCTCCTTGAAAGGAACCTTCTGTATTAGTCACTTGCGGCCAGACAGAGTCTTGTAGAAATTTAGGGACTAGCAGATTTACTGTGGCATAAGCTTTTAGGGACTAGAATGCATGTCAACAAATATATATTATCCTCCAGTTCGTGAACTGTTTCCATTTGATCATTATAAGAATATCTATATGGCTTGAGTGTGCCTGTTTTCCTCTAACCTCCTTATGTCACCTTCCTTTTGTGTTATGTCTGTTAGAGCTTAGGTGGGCAATACGTAGATCAGAAACATAGAAACAGAGCGAGTCAGAAGGGGTCTCCCAGGCCATCTAGTCTGACCTCCGGCACCAGCCGGCTCCGCTCACGACATGCCCACCATGTGGACGTCCAGCCTGTCCTTGAACACCCGCACCGATATAGAAACTATTGCTTGATCTCTGGGTGGTTTGCAATAGATCAGCAAGGCTTTCTAACTCCCAAAAATTTAACAGAAGCAAATAAACCGCCAAGTATACAGAATTCCCTGCCAGAGTTGACAATGTGTTCATCGTTATCTCTCCGTCTCAGTCTGTCCTGCCGCAGTCTGCAAGAACTTCCTTCGCAATAAACTCTTGTGCAAGAGTCTTTGCCGTCTTACCATGACCTTCCCTTGCAGGCCAGATGGTGTCCACAGTAGAGGAAGAGCGAACCCTGAATCCTCGCCTGACGTTGCCCAAGGAGGCCTTTGTGGAGCTCATGAACAACCTGAACTTGCCCAAGCCCAAGCAGATCGGTGAGGCCGCCTTCGGCTGCCCAGGCCTGGCGGAAGAGCAGAGTCTCGGGCCTGACGACACTGCAGTCTGCCTAGCCAGTGTGGCCTTCCTGCAAAGGATCCTGGGAAGTTTAGCCGGGCCAGGGTGCTGAGAATTCGGCTAGCGGTTTCCTTGTAGAACGCAGGTTTCCTGGGGCGATGGAATGGCTTTTCATGTGGATACCCACGCCACGAAGATTCTCCTGCCCCACAGAACACTGGGACTTACTTCTGAGTAAACATGACTAGGGTTGGGTCTGCCTTAAAGCTGCAATTCTGTAACACTTACTTGAGGGCAGGTCCTGCTGAGCTCTGGGGGACTTGCTTTGGAGAAGGTGGATCTGGCTGTTCAGGGTGTTAAGGACCTGGCTGCTCTGAAGGGCAGGAATCCTGGACTCGTGCATTCGGTGTTCAGACACGTCTCCTGTGGCAGCTCACGTGGCCCTCAGCTGTCCCCTGGGCCATTTACAAGAAGTGTCTTGCTCGCTTTTGGCTGAAGGGCTGAGAGCAGATTGCAGTTTTCCTTGCTAAAAGGAGCAGGAGAATTTCGGATCAGAATGACCTGGAGAGGGCGGTTAACCTTACAGCACCTCCTCTTGACCTTGATCAGTGGCAGGTTGTTCTTTCTGCGCATTCACACATACCCTTAGATCCACTGCTCAGCGCTGCATGTAGCTCTTGAGCCAAAATATTTGGCTCCCCGGCACAAGCAGGCAGCTCTCGCTGTTGGACTGTGGGATAATATGTCTGTTCTTTGACTTTTTGCAGATTTTGCGGTCCCTGCAAACCTCAAGTGTGGAGTTCAAGATACAGTTGCCTAGCTGCACGCTTTTCCCTCCAGGCCCTGCCTGTTTCATGGAGAACACGGCTGCGTGGCCTCTGACCGGCCCCTTCGAAGCAGTGCGACGCTTTCTCGGTATGCGAAAACCCACACAGCAAGCGATGAGAGAAGATGACAAGGACATTCCGTGGAGAAGCACACAGAAGAATTGCTTGTTTTGGTTCCTCACCCACGCACGCAACCTGATACTTCTATGACGAATCACCCATCTCTGACTCTTAACTCTGATCCCTCTTTGGCCCTGTTCTTGCAGGGCCTTTTTGCTAGTGCAAAAAGTGCTGGACATTCGTGGCCCAAGCTGGTCCTTCATTCCATTCCCTTCAAGCCCAGATTGCGCTGAAATTTCTTTGTTTGGATTCTCTGTGTGGATCAGAAACTGTGAACAGCTGAAACTCAGGGGAAGAGGGTTTTGTGTGCAGATGCTCTTGTTGCTGAGGAAATAAATGGCATTTGTTTTTCACTAGCTGCGGTTGCCTGATGTGTCAAGCTGCTTGTAGATAAGAACGCTGATGGGGGCAGGATGACCAGTTTTGCAAAATATGCTCTAGAATAACTCCTTGGCCAGAAGGGTTTCCTGCAATGTGGTAACAACTTGAAAGCTTTCAGGTTCTGGCCACCTTGATCCCAGGTGTTTTAGCATCCTTGGACCCTGAGATGACTCCACTCTCTAGGAGCATAATAGAGTAATAATGATTGCATTTCTGTGCTACAGGAATAGGGAAGATTTCAGGGACAGGATGCCGAGGAAATGACGACTTCTATGTTGTGTTCCTCAGTATGGGAAGGAGTGCAGGGAAGGAGTTTTTTCGGACATGCAGAGCAGAGCTAGGCATTCCCTTGCTTTCAGATGTCTTGGGTGCAACTCTAATAAAGCCCAGCCAGTACTGCCAATGGTCAGAGAGCATGGGAGTTGTAGTTCAAAATCCCTGGGGGAGGCCACCTACCATGCAGGCTGATGGTCCTGCATTAATTTCACAGCCGACCACTAGATGGCAGTGTTTCCTCACGGGAACTCTGGTGAGCAGTGACTCTGAACCTGAACTTCACAGGAGTTCAGGATTTCTTGTTTGTTTGTTGGTGGGTTTTTATACCAATGAGCCCAAACTGCGTGTCATTGCCTGCATATCCAAGCAGAGCCTGCTGCTCATCTGCTTGCTCTCCCTGCCATTTTTCTGGTTTGAAAATCATCTGTTTCTCCCACTGGATGGGCAGAAAAAATAGAGGAAGAAGCAGGCAAGTGCTGCCAGGGTGCACTTTCAGTTCCAGTCCTGAACCAGTTAGCCAAGGCGGGATAAGCAAGGGGTGATGTTGTCCCGCCAGGCTGATGTTCGGTTGCTTTCAAGAATGCTAGAACTACCCAAAAAGATTACTCTCTTCCTAATGGTACAGGGATTGTCCCTGGGTGGGCAATGTGTGACTCTCTAGGTACTGTTGGACTTCAGATTCCCATCAGCCTCAGCCAGCATGGCCAACAGTGGGGGTGGTGGGAATTGTAGTCCAGCAACATCTGGAGTCACTCCGGTTTCCCATTGTCTTGTTAAGGCTCTGCACTTTTAATGGGTGGGGGTAGGGGGGCTGTTTAGACAGCTGTTTTAGTAAGCCAAGGTCATCTAGACCATCATCCCCAATGACCTGGTGCGCTCTGTCTCTCACTACAGCTGTCATCACCCTCTGCTACATGGCCATTGGCTACGCCGAAAGTTGTGTTGCTCGGGGTGGTTTTCACCATCTGTTTTGTACGCTCAGCCCGCTCCCTGGGGAGGTCCCAGCATGCCGATAGCCATGATCAAAGCTGGATACTTTGCCCGTTGTTCCTCCAGCTGCACCAAGTGATGCGCTTGCTGTGCAGCTCAAGGCTTCACCTGAGAGAACCTGTCCTTTCCTGCAACATTTGCGGTCTCACCTGTTGGAAGCTCTTCCACTCGCCCTTCCAAAGACCTCTTTGCAGTCGCCTCCTTAGCCTTCAACCTTCTGATCCCCCCACACAGGCCACAACCAAAGCCCAGCTCAGCTAGCAGGGTACATCTTTAGGATCAGCGCAGAAAACCCAGGACGGTTTTGATGCCTTGGGCCACAATCCCCATCAGCCCCTTCCACCATGATCAGGGATTCTAGGAGCTGTAGTCCAAAATGTCTGGAGCACACTCCTCCTTTAGACCTTTCTTCGATACAAACACCTGGTTGTTGGGTTGGGTGCTGCTAATATCGTTCATCATTGTGTTTCAATCATGCTTTTTAATGCATTTGGATTTTCGGAGTGTTTAAAATAATAAAATTTTTCTTGGCTTAGGTGCAGATCTCTTCTTAGAAATGCCTGACTCCAAATTGCTGCATATGATTATTCTTACATGGCATTTATCGCCTGCCTTTTTTCCTTGTGTGATGACCTCAAGACGAGTCACTGAGCTCTATCTTATCCTCACAACAACAACCCTGCGAGGCAGGTTAGGCTGGTCAATCATGGAGCTTCATAGCCCAGTGGGGATTAGAACCCAGTTCTCGCAGGTCCCCAGTCCAGCCCTCTTGCCACCACCCCACACGGACTCTCCCCTTAAAACGAGTCAGAAGATTCCAGAACAGCTGTTCTCAGTGGAAATGTGATTGTGTGGCCTGTGTATCGGATTGTGTGGTGTATACCTCACAAGAGACATTCGGAAACTTGATTAACATGACAGAAAGCAAAGCCTGTGAGCAGCTGGCCAGATGCAAGCGGTCGGTTGTTTGGAAATGTGTGGATTTTTATGCAACTAGGAATTGGAAGTTCAGCTTTTTGGAGAAGGAAAGGAAAGTGGGGAGCCAGCCTTGCCCCCGCCTTTTTTGGGCAGGACTGATGGCATCGCCCACTTGAAGTGGATCCTCAAGGCTTCTTGGCACTGGCGAGTGAGCCAGGCAATCAAGGGACTTTCAAATGTGAACATTGTTTGTGACGGGTTAGTGCAAACCCATTTAATTAGAGAATATTTGCATTCTAATTAAAAACCAGCGCTTTCATGCAGCTGCTGGATTATCTTTCCATAGGGCTCAATTGAGTTTACAAGCGAAATCTAAGTTAAAAATAAGCAGGAAGTGAGCTTTATGATCTTTTCCTTTTTGCCGTAGTGCTGTCCTAATTATACTCTTCACGACAGATTTCTTCTTCTCCTCTCCAACAATTCCTTTGGTCCTGGAGATACATCTGTGCACCAGCTTAAGACAGGTGAGCAACCTGGAATGTCTCCCCACTTTTAAGTTGCACTCCATGGGATGTTGCAAGCTGCCCAGAAAGAACTTATTCATTAGCAAACGAAAGGGCCATGTTTCCTCTACCGAGCAGGCAACGGGCCAGAGTTGACCCACATGGTCTTCCAGTGATGTTCACCCTTGTCCTGACACCCTCATTTTATCTGGGGTCACCCAATGGCACCCAAGGTGCAATTAGTATAATTGTATAATTATATAATTATACAATTAGTATAATTGTATGTGGGCAGATGCCCAGGTTGTGGATCTTAACTGGATTCTTTTGAGTATGCACAAAATTTGGCCTGCTTCCGTGCAAACTCCAGTTGAGGGAGGCCAGGAGAGAAATCGCCTGGCTTTGTATGTGTGGTAAGTGGCAATTTATTTGTCATCAGACGACTGAAAGGGAGAGATAAACGACTCACCTGAGGCATCCGAGGGCACTTCTTGTTGCCGTCTTTATCAGAACAAGCCAGCCTTTATTTTCATACTTAGAAGCCGTTTTTCTCTCTCCCACCTGCACGACTTTCCCATAGAAGTCTGTGTTTCCCAGAGATTTTGCAAGGGAAGCTGTAAGGCAGGAACAGGAGAGCAAAACCAGACAAGAGAAGGCATGTTTTGAATTGTCAACCTAAGTGTGCGTTTGTTTGAAGGAACTGGTTTTCCCATGCAGACCAGACTGTGAGATTATGCAGTGCTTGATATCATCCTGGGTCTTTCTCCACAGGGTACAAATGAGAACCTGGGACAAGGGGCCCACCTTTTAACCCTATAAATTGGCCTGGGGGGTGGTCTGAGAGCTTCGGGAGATGGAACTCTGCTGAAGCTGAGCAGTTTAGGTTGAATTTTTTTTTTTTAGGTTGAAATTTTTTATTTAACTGGAATCCCACTTGGGCAATGCCCACTGCCCTCTACTACAGTTGAGGGTTCCTTAATTAAACACACAAATACCCTCTTCAATTGCAGCCGCACTGTAGCCCTGGCTTTCTAAAACAGTAGGTAAGATGGGACACATCATAAAAAGAGGGCAGTCCCCATGGAAGAGTACAATGTTAATTTATAAGCAATAACAAAGCTGACAGACAAAAGCTTGCATATTATGGAACACCCAGCTGTTTGTCACATGCCCCTCCAGCTCACTGAAATGCTGATAGGGTAGTTGCTTATGAATCACCAAATAGGAGGGCAGTGATTTGCATAAAATGTGCATGTGCTAATAGATATCCAAAGATGCAAAATTTAAGAAGTGCTGCCTCTCTATTTAAAATTATAAAAAGCATGTCTCATTGCGATGCAAAAGGCTGTGGCCAGGTTGCTGATGGACAGCTTTAAGGCCCAGCTCTTTTTTTTCTGTGAGTTCCTTGTCTTTAAGCTGGAATTAGTCTTTCGAATAGAGGATGGTTTCAAAACACCAGAGGATCCCTCACGTAGAGGACTGTGCCCTCTAATGGAGGAAACCTGGCCACTCTAGGTGCTGATTGTGGAGGAATGGTCCATGCAAAGGCCTTTTAAATATTCCACTCACCTCAAGGGGTGAAATGGCTCAGAGTGATGGGTTGGGTTGAAAGAGGGGGACCAGTGAACAAGATTGGCCACTGTATGAAACCAGTTTATACACACTTTCCTTCCACCTGGAGCAAATAACTTGAGAGCAGGGATTTTCATCAGAAAATGGATGTTCATCTTCTAGCATCACTGTGGTGATTAATATTAATTTATATCCCCTTTTTCCTGCAACAGGATGAGCATTGCAGGCGCTTGGCCAGTGGCTCCTCGGGATTATGGTTTGTCGTGTTCTGTTTATGACAGCAATTATTTCTAAATTTACATGCTTGCATATGCATGATCATTTATGGAGATCAGTGTCTTTTTGAGAATTCATTTCCTCTTTGTGTGTCTCCATCTCAAATGCCTCCTATGAGAAACTTGTTTGTGCATCATGGCCACCTAGGTAGTTGCTGTGGATTGCATAAGCCCTGATAACAGAGCAAAGCTTTCAGAAGGAACGGATTTCGTAAGGCTCCAAACAGCTTGGTCAGAAAGAATGTGGAAAAACTGGCTGGATTCCAGGGAACTGGGGATGTTACACTGGGGAAAGACCCCAAAGCCAAAACCAGCAGAAAACCTTGGAGGGTTGGAATTAGAAAGGGCCTGAAAGGAAAGGGATGTCTTAACCTACATTAGCTTTCCCCTACCTGTCCTACTGGGAATGATGGGCTTGTAGTCCAATGCATCCTGAGGGTG